GAAAAGATGTGACAATCATTTGCATCTTGTCCCAGATGGGCTGTCACTCAGGGTCCACGAAAGTCTAATGGGGCTGGGCTGGCGATCAGGAAAAATGCGAGGAATGCTGGCAATTCCCCAGGGCTTCGCTGGGCTGTTTCAGGCCAGCTCCTTGGAAGCCAGGGGTGGGAGGTTGGCCACTGGGTGACCCAGCCACTGCGGCTCAGTAGCACTTCTACCCGAAAAGAGGACAAACAATTGTCCTGCCTTGAGCCCAGAGGTGGGCACTGGGACAACTTCTACGTACCTGGGGGGTGGGGAGGGTCCCTGCACGCCCTTCTTTGCTCCTGGTGCACACCCTTCCCCGAGGGGCAAACGTGTCTCTTCTGTCACATCTCCAGGGCGGATGTCCGAGAGGTCGAGGCACAGGTCCTTCTTTTCTGGACAGAAGACTAAAAGCCAATAGTCCTGGCTGGAGCAGACACTTAATTTGGGGTGTTTGGTATCTGAACCTCCTTCCTGCATTCAGGAGATCCTGCTATCATGAAGCTGGCCACCTCTCCACCTTAGAAGGCAGAACTCTCAGACCTGGCTTTTCTGACCTGCCTTCAGTCGCTGCACGCACCTGCCCAACACTTTCAATTGGCAGCTGGTGGCTGTTTGAAATCCACCCTGGTGACAGGTAACAGCCTCTACATTTATTGCCCAAAAGAGGAGAGGTGATGGCCCCAGTGACAGTATCCAGCCCTGGGGTATCTGCGTGAGCCCGGGAGCACCGAGGAGTGATATGGGGTCTGGGTCCTGGCTGGGGATCCTCTAGGCCTGGTAACCATGTGACTTATCTAATAACCTTTAATAAACATATTTCCTACTTAACCCACTCATAGTTGGTTTCTATTGTTTGCAAATAAGAACATGGACACAATGGCAACAGGTGGCACAGAGATTAGAGCCAGTTACTGGGATTTCTCTTTGGCAAGTTGCTGGAATTCGCATGTTTGTCCCTGCAAACCTCATGTTGAAATTTGATCCCTAATGTCAGAAGCGGGGCCTAGTGGAAGGTGTTTGGGTTGTGGGTGCGGATCGCTCGTGAGTGGCTTGGTGCCCTCCTCACAGTAATGAGGTGTTAGTTCCTACGAGAGTGTTTGTTGAAAAGAGCCTGGCACCTCCCTCCTCTTTCTCCTGCTTCCTCTCCTGCCATGTGATCTCCACACATGCTGGCTCCCCTTCCCTTCCGCCACGAGTGGAAGCTTCCTGAAGCCCTCACCAGAAGCAGATGCTGGCACCATGCTTCTTGTACAGCCTGCAGAACTGTGAGCCAAATAAACTACTTTTCATAATCAATTACCCAGTATTCCTTTATAGTAACACAAATGAATTAATACAAAAGTCCATCCTGGGTTTATATCCAGAAAGGTCTTTTGAAAGAGGAGACATGGAAGCACAACCATCCCCTTGTGCCCAGTTCAGATGCAGCTTGGGCCTGTGTGGACAACCTGAAGCCATGCCCTTTGCAGAGTTGACGCCTTGGCCACACCAGCTGGAGGTGGAAGGCTCTGGCAGCCACCCGTTGGGAGACAGGCCAATGCCACACGGGGTTTGGGTTCAAGATGCAAATGTCCTGCTAGACCAGTGCTGGGAATACTCACCACAGGAGCCTGGGGACTGTCTTTCCTCAGAGGCCTTCAAAAACTAAACAGACGCTCTTTCATTCCCCACCACGCCTGGCCATATCTCCATGTGCCTCGTGACACCTGGCCCAGAGTGTGTATGAAGAGATGCTGTTGGATTCGTTCATTTCTCAGAATAGTTTGTATATTGCAGTAAGGCAGAAGAACGAATCACATGACTTTAGAGTTCATTGGTTCCAATTATTCCAGCTCTTCTAAGAAGGCATTTGTGCCAAAATTGCACATATGTTCCTTTAAAGAAAACCACAGTAGTTTTCTGATGGAATGTCTCCCTCTCCCAAACCCCTAGTCGGACATGCCAAGCATTAGGCTAGAGAACAGTCTCTCTTGCAGTTTCAAGTCTTCTCATCCCTCAGAGAACTCTCTTGGTAACTCAAGGCCCTGGCTTTCCTGAGTGGCTTTCTGAGGGAGACAATGGGGACTCGGCTCTAAGAGGGTGACAATACTGCTTTCTTTCCCCCTCACAAGCAGCGCTATTAGAAGCCACGTCTGGAGAACAGAAGGCATTCTGGGAACATGGTGCTCTCACCTTCTGCAAAATGCAGAGCCACAGAGCAGATGGCAGGGACTTCAAAAGCACAAGAGTCACCTTGAAAGATAATGGCACAAAGGGAGTGGGTGAGAGGCTTTTGTACCCTTTGACAACAAGGAAGCAGAAAAGACAAAAGCTATTTGTCAGTCAACAGAACTGAGAGCTGGTCGGGCTGCAATTTACATCAAGGGAGGCCAAGCCTCCTGTCTTCCTGGCCAGAAATAAACGGCATCAATCAGCCGCCAAACTGCGTCTCCTGCCTCCTGATCTTCTGGTGTTTTTTCTTTTTCCTCACAGGGAGCATTTCTATCCTGCCTGTGTGGGCAGCTGAGGCTGGGCAACCTCTCCTCCCCTCTTGGAAAGAGCAGCCCCTTCTGACCGATGCTCGCCCCAAGAGACCCTGGCCATGTCACCATGCCACCATGGTTTCCTGTAAGCAGGAAGCCTGTGGCCTCCCCAACTGCCAGAGGATGGGGAGTTAGGGGACTTCATGCCATTGCCCCATGCTTGGTCCTGTGCAGTCTGTAGGCCTCTTGCCCATTTGCAGATGGGCAAACTGAGGCACACAGAGGTCCCCTCACCTGCCCAAGATCACAGAGCCACTAGTGTCATACTGGGATGCTGAGCTGACCTCAATCAGAGCCAGAGAGAGCAGTGGGCGAGGCACCAGCTGCTTTTCAACTGAAGATGTTAAAAGAAATGCTTGTTCCTGGCTCCCCAGGCTTGTCCTCCGAGACAGAACACGCTAACTGCCCAGCCCCAGCAAAGGCCAAAACTAGCTTCTCAGCTCTGAGGGGGCAGATAGAAAAGAGCCCCACACACACACCTCCTGCTCCCCAGCCCAGACCCAAGGCCCAAGCTGCTTTGCGCCCACCCCCGACTGGCGTGGAAACCGAGTCCCGCAGGCGCGCTTGGTGTCAGCACCTCAAACATTTGCTCCCCTCCTCGGCGAGGGCCTCAGCTGCTCGCTAAAGGGATCAAGCCTCAGAAGCCTGTTCTCCTTCTTTGAAGCTGACAGCTTGATGCCTGTGGAAATGCAGTCCTATTTCAGGATTTCATTTTGAAGAGTTTTCAAAAGAGTGGCTCGAGGCTCCGCTGAACCGCTCGTTATGGCTCCTCTCCCGGCCGCCGCATCCCGGCAGGTGCGCCCAGCACAGCAGCTGCGGCTCTGCCGTCATCGGCGGGCAGGTGATTGTTCTAAATTAGCACCTGGCTCTGTCGGGAGGGCTCTGACGCTTCCGAGCTGCTCCCAAGAAGCGGTGGGGAAGCTCACGCCTTGTACCTTCCTTACATTATCTGTGTTTGAGATGATCCACCAGGGAGGCAAGGAATTACTGACTCTCTGACTCCCGTTTATGTCAGGCATGTCTTAAAAACACTTCCCACGCCCCCCCCCCCAAAAAAAATACCCAACAAACAAAGGCTATGAAAATGCTACTAGGAAACCTGGGAAGCTGAGACCCCAGGGAGCCTCAGAGGCAAATGCAGATGGGGGCTTTTGAGGGGAGAAGGCCCCGGGCTGGAGGCCTACAGGAAGGCGCAGGGGTGGGGCAGGGGCACCGTGCACTTGTCATGGGGCTGTGACTGCAGGGTGCCACCAAATGCCAGGAAGGCATGAGTCCACTGCTACAGGAGTTGAGAGGGACTCCAGGGGATTTTCTTCATGCAACTACTCCGCACCTCTGCAAGGAGAGTATTGTGGCTGGAAGAAATGGAAACCAAGGCATTGCAGTCCCACATGAAGGTACCTGCACACCACCAAGCCCAGGGACACTGGGACATCTTCCAGATGGCCCCTCCCAGGGCAGTTGCAGAGGATTCAGAGGATTCGCTTTGGCCTGAATAGAGACTCTGCCGGGAAGCTGCCAGGTACCCGAATCTCCTGCCTTCCCTCTGCTTCGAGAATAACCGTCAGCACTGCGTCTTGGCTCTGAGGGGTGCTGGGCATAGTGACGCCCCTCAAAGCAGCTAGAGTGTCGTCATCTCTTCACCTGCACATACAGGTTCAAGGAATGGTCCAATAGCCTCATTTCCATTTAGGAGGCAAAGAGTTGCCATAAATCTAACCCATCACTCTCAACCAGGCCGAGTGCCATTTGGCCACCAGTGACTATTCATGTTTCAAGGCTTATTATTTACAGAAACTGTTTTCTCCGTTCTTGTTTCTTCTCCCCACCCCAAGGTAAGACAATGCCTGGAGAGAAACTCCATTCACCAGGACATTGGTCAAAGACGGGCCAGACCCTGGCAGAACCTATCTCTGCTCCTCTGAAATCAGTGCCACCAACTACAGGTACCTGAGAGCTTCAAGATGACAGCGCTTCTATGAAGAGGGTTTAAGCTCCAGCCTGGCTCTATTTTTAAGAGGGAAGCATTATTTCTTCGGGAACACACCACTAATTTCCATGCATCTGCTGACTCATCCTCATCACGGGATGGTTCACCCGGCGCAGGAGGAGGCATCGCTGCCAGGGCGTCACCCTGTGATGAGGGTGAGGGTGGGCATGGGTCTTTCCAGGCCAGCTCTGCTGCGCCAGCCCTAACACGGCAGTTTGCCTGACTATAAAGATAGTTGGATTCATCCCCCCCCCATAGATTCCAGAAGATATGGGACTTTTCATAAGCCAGACAAAACCCCTAGTTCATGGGCAGCCAGGATAAAATCTTGCAGACCATGAGCCAAAGTTAACCAGTAGCGATTTTCTATATCTTGGCGATAGAGAATTATGTTACATGATGGCAGCCATGCCAAGAACATGAGAGGCTAAGAAAGAGAGTCAGGCACAAGGAAACCAAAATCCCACAGAAAGAGAGAGTTGTTCTATTTGGCAAACACTGCAGTGCACAGACAGACAGACTGCATCCTGTTAAGCCATTCTCCTTGTCAAGGTCCGGTGTCTAGCTTCTGCTGCTGGAAAGATCTTTGCATCTTTAAGATGTGTCACTAGCTCACGGAACCTATTTCTGTAACTCTCTGCAAGAGCCAATTTAAGCTGGCTTCTCAGTTCACTCTGCACTCGAAAGATACCAATTTCCAATTCCTCCTCAGAGTCCGTGAGACCAGATGCTGTGACAAATGTTCCAGTGAAATCAACCCAGAAGATGATCCCAGGGGGCTCCTTGGGGAGCACAGGATTCACCAGCTCAGCCTGTGGCTTTGCCGCAGCTTTAGTGCTGCCATATCCTCTCTGTAAGGGTTCTGATGGGACCTGCTTTTGTTACAGTCCGGGGGAGGGGGGATCTTGGGGGACAGAAAAAAGTTCCCAGGGAGGCTAGGGGGCATGTGACAAGTTCAGAGTGTAGTCACACTCTGTTGCAGGGGAGACCCTATTGCACCTGGCAGCCTGAACTGGGTAGCAATTCTTGCAAATGCGAAGCCACTGCTTTTGTTAGGTAGGTCATGGTCCCATAAGCCCCGCTCGGAGCACTGTCATAAAAGTAGTGGCAAATTCCTGTGGCTTGGTCTTTCTCCAGGGTGTCCATGGCTCCAACTGACACCTGCAGCAGGAGAAGGCAGAAGGAACACATGAGCAGGGTGCGCATGCCCCATCATGCCTCGACGTGGTGGCAGTGGGTGGGTGTGTGTGAGGGGCAGTGTCGCTGGAGGCCCGAGGCCCTCGGGGAAGCTGATGACGAGGGCAGAAAGCCAGGGATGCCGGGAAAGCGTTCTGCTTCTCCTCTGGGTTCTGTGCTGTGTTTTCACAGACCTTAGTTTGCAGCTCATTGAGGACTCGAATGAGAAGACAGCTCCGCCCAACCTGATTGTGCAAACAGGGTAAGTGGTTCACCCAGGGCCACATGCGTAGCCAGCGGTGATGTTTGGACTAAAACCTATGCCGAGATAGGCCTGTCCATCCCCAAAGGTCTTTAGATTTCCCAAGTGGCTACTGTGCCATTTTCTAACCAAATGGTTGACATTTTTTCACCACCTGTGGCTATTCTTTCCTACTGGACACAGACTCTCCAGCCTCAACAGAGACAAATGCCAGCCCAGCCGGCCGCCCTGGCGCCCCACCTGGTCCTGCAGGAACAGCTGGTTGGCTGTCTGAACCATCTGGTCCACATGGATGATGCCCCCGATGCTGTTCATCTCCGTGTCCGAGAGCAGTGTCAGCACCATGATGGCTTCCACCAGCAGTTGCCTGTACTCAGGCTGCGGCACACGGTTCAGCACCGACTCAACATGGACAGCGAACTTGATCTCATGCGGGGTCATCTGCCAAAGGGACAGCAGGCGACCAGTAGTGAGAGACGGGCACAGACACAGCCCGATAACCAAGCAACCAAGGCTGAGCACTGCGCTGCCTGGGTCGGGGCTCAGCTCAGCTGCTCCTCCTTTCTGGCCACTGTCGTGAACCTGCCAGCAGGAGCCCTCCCTGGGGGTCAATTGGCCTTGTCCTAGCCTCATTTCTCTACCCTCAACTGTGCACTGTGGCTTCCAGGGAGCAGGGACCATTTTTTTTATATCTCTTTCTTCTTCATTATTCCTTGAAGCATAAAGCATGCTGCATTGGGTGGGATAAAATCTAAGAAAAAAAATCCATTTTTATAAGAACGAACGGGGGACCAGTCAGCCAGGGAAGATGACGGCTCTCAGCTGGAGAGAAGGTGCCAGTGAGTGTCGCATGGGGCTTGGCTCTTTTCTCTCTGGAGGATCTTAAGGGGTCTCAGGGCAAATCTAAGGAGCTTGATAGCCCAGAAACACTGTTTCTGAGGCGAAAAGGAGAGAAAAGGTGATGCTAATAAATGCAGGAAAGAAGCTTCACAAAATGTGGGGTTAAGTGGCTTAAAAAGCTCAGACCCACAAATGGCCTATCTACACATGACGAGCTTGAAAGGAGCACCAGTGGTCACAGTGCAAGAAGGGGGTAGGGGCTGGCATGTGGCCTTTTCTCATCATACCTCTTGGGTCGTTGAAGATGGGAGGACATAACCATCGATGGAGAGACCGTGGCACTGGAGGCAGAACACACACATTTCAGTGACATTGCAGAACATGACAAGTGCGTGCGCGTGCACACACACATGCATGAGCACACACGCGCACACAGCACTCTCTCTGCCCTGGAAATCTGCGTGAGGGCTGGAGCACGCCAGACTGTCAGAGTTATTTTTAGAGAGCTTGTTCTCACTGCCCACAGGCTGTGTTTTCGGTGGAATGATTCTAGGGAAAGCAGGAGGCATCTTTCAGATCTTGAACGAACAATGCCCTGGGGAGCTGACGAGTCCTCCCTGGAGGTTCCACATCTCGCTCGGCAACCCTGCCCTGGTGGCTGCCAGGCCCCCTTTGGTGCCGTAATAAAGGGAGATTTTCATGGCTCCTGCTGGTGAGGTAACGCTTCTGTGCCTTTGCAGGCATCTATTTTTGAGATTTCTATAATAAGCACCAATCACAAAAGACTCCAGCACATGCACAGACACGCACACGCACACCCATGTATATAAATACCAAGAGCCGGCTCAACACAAAATGCTGCTTTTTCATAATAAAAGCATCTTGGTATCGGGCCAGTGGAAGTCCGGATGGAAGCATGTGATGCCCCAGGAACAGTGGGGACGATTTTCTAGGAACAGTTTGTTCTGGTCCAATTGGCCACCTTCTAAATCCCAATGTCCCGGGCGCGGTGTCCCCAGCAACCCCAGGGCAGGGCGACAGGAAATGTTCCTGCTTGCTGAACAGAGGCTGAGAACAGAGGACCAGAGGCATCTGCTGGTTCCCATGTGGGTCCCTGGGCACCAGGAGTCCCTGGTGCCTGCTCTGACCTCCTTGCACCCCTGCAGCGGCTATGAGGAAGACCTCGGACAGCACAAAATACAGAGGCCAAAAGCTCCCAACAGGCCAGGGCCCCACTGCAGAAAGAACACGGACTGAATGTGGCTCTGGGGGGACTTGTCGTGTGCTCACATCTGGGATTATTGTTCTCTCTTCTACTGTGAAACGAGCTAAAAAGAAATAGTTTAGGGGAAAAACAATCCGTCTTGGTTTGCACAGGAGCTTTAAATTGTCCCCCTGTGTAAAAGGAAAGACAAGCTCTGGTGGGGCCCAGGGAGGCACACAAATGCTCTGAGGCCAATGTGGGAGGGAGATGGAATGTGGGGAGCAGAGAACAAGGGGGCCTGTCTTCCCATGATGCTACCCCCCCCATGGAGTTCAGACGGGCTCCCCTGTGCTCAGGCGGGCGTGGGCGTATTCTTCAGCTGCGTCACCTCCCATGTTCCCAGCGCCCCCAGGCATGTGGGAAACACCATGGAAAGCCCGCACTGAGCACAGTGGGGGTCTGGGAGTCTCCAAGGGAGAGGCGGGGGTGGCCCAGCGTGTGAGAGAGATTGTGCCACCAGGGCACATGGTACCTGGGACCAGACTAGAAGCTCTCCATTTCTGTATGCCCTCGGGACCCAACTGTGCCCTGCAGGTAGCAGAGCTCAGTCATGTCCCTAAACAACAGGACATCATGCCTGCCTGAATGATCCTGCCTGATCCAGGCCCCTGCTGAACTGACACTGTAGGGCCCAGGCCTGCGGGGGCTGTTTTGGGTCATCTACATTATAGTGTTTTCATCGAAAGCCTTCCCGCCTGCTTCAGCACTTGCCTTTCTCCTGACTTTTCTATGTTTCTGAACTATGTCTACGCTGGTCGCACACAGCCTGGGCTGCCACCTTGTCTTCCTTGCTGTGGTTCCACCTACTAGTTCTCAACCAGGGGGATTTGCCTCCCAGGGGACACTTGGCAATATCTGGAGACGTTTGGTTGTCACAGCTGGGGGAGGAGGTGCTACTGGCGTCTAGCAGGGAGAGGCCAGGGACGCTGCTCACCATCCTCCAAGGCACGGGACAGTCCTATAACTGAGAATGACTCGGCCCTGAATGTGCCGAGGTGGAGAAACCCTGCCCCAGGCTGTGAGCCACTCAAGGTTGGCGTGGTGTGTTTGCTTGTTCTACAGCTATATGCCACCTGGTACCTGCAGGGGCTGCTATGCCTCACCAAGGCAGTAAGGGGGACAGTTCCTTTCCCCGGGAGTGTGCATCTCCCAGCACTGATGCCTCAGGCAGCCAAGCTCACCTTCTGCAGGATCTTCCACACCCTCTGGTAGAATCCCACGGGGACCCTGTTGATGGCCCCGTCCAGTCTTCTCCTGCGCAGCCACTGGCCCTGCTGCTCCCCCCAGCCAATGTGATGTCCTCCTGAGTCCGTCGATGATGTCCCAGTGGGCGAGGATGGGGTGCTGGACCTCTGCAAGACAGCATGTGGCCTTCAGGAGTCTCAGGGGTGTTGCCCCAGGGGAAGGTGGCCAGCATGAAGGACGCTCAGGGAACCAGTCAGAAATACCAGAATACCCCTGCCCAGAGAGCCACGCGGTTCCTTGATTCCTCCTTGTCTGCTTCTTGGCGCTGGATTCATCTTTCATGTTCTGGTTTGGTTACTTAACTCCCTCTGCACACTTCCCCAGCCCCAAGAGGCTGCATCCAAAGGACCCTGCACTCCCAGGGAGGAGGCGGAGCAGGGAAGGGAACTGAGCCCCAGGCAACACCAGCTGCATCCAGAGCCCAACCCAGGCAGTCCATCCCTGCCGCTAACTCCGGGCCCTGGTCTCATCTGCACGATGGGGACACAGTCGGACCTCCTTCAGAGAGCTGCCTGTGAGCACTCACTGAACGAAGGTGCAGAAACCCCCGAGAGTGAGCCTGGCTTGTGCCCTGTGCTCATGGGGTGTGGAGCCCGTCCCCTTGCAACGGGAGAGCTTTGAGGGCACCACCAGGCCCTGGAGCAGGTAAGCCTTTCAGGCACCTGCAGCCCAGGGCCAACGTGCCCACTTTACTGCTGCAGTGGTACAGAGAAGTGACAGTTACCTCCCCATAGGGCGGGTGCCACAGAGACCACAACATGTAACGTGGGGGAAAGGATTTGCGGGCAAAGCAAACAGCGAAGGCTGTGAGTCCACAGTTACAGGCAGGGACCACGGAGACCACGGTCTACCCATGTCCTTTCCAATCCCGCTTTCTACTTTTGTGTCCTTGGCACTGGGCTTTATCCTAATTTGGGGCAATGACAGCCTGTGAGCTGGGCACACGTGCTTTCCTGATGCGGAGGAAGAGGGTGCCATCCCCTCCCCACTTCCTCTCCTGAGGCAGGACTGATTCTGGCCTCGAGGAAGTGCTGCCAGGGCGCCCACACCAGAGTGGCACCAGAGGCCAGGCCTGTGAATGGGCATGTCCCCTCCCGGCCTGCTGTCTTGCCATGGGTAGCTTCTAGCCCCTTGGCCTCCAGGTGGGAGAAGGGATAACCTTCGTCCTCACACATCCCTTTGTTCTGCACTATCTGGTACTTTCATTTCTCAACGTGCAGCGTCAGATTTAAAGGGTTAAAAATGAAATGCAAATACTAAGCACACTGGCAGGGCAGGTGGCAGGGTCTTTCTCTCTGCCCCCATTGGGACTTCAAAAGATCTTAGTCTGAAAGGCAGTTAGGTCGGGTTATTCCATTGAGCTCATTACTGCCATTTAAATAAGGCAATGATTGGACACAAATACAAGTAATTACAGCCACACTCATCAGCAACTCAGCGGATTCTGTCCTCCCAGTTTCAGGAGGAAGATTGGGACTCGCCTCTGCAATGAACACATTTCCTAGTCCTCCTCTGGATGTGGGGCTCCACACCCAGCTGGGGCATCATGAGTGCAGAGCGCTAGTCCGCAAGGGTTCACTGCCATGGGCATGGAATCAGTGTCCTGAAGGTTCCAGAAGCCAGTGGGAATTGGTGAGGAGAGCACGTCTCACCTGCAGCTCACAGAGGCACATGAGCAGAGAACTGAGAGGTAAGATGGCAAACAAAGCTCAGTTCAAGAACTTCTCGGCCTTCTTCCTAGACCCCCCTCAGAATTCCCACTGGAGGAGCCCGTCGGCATCACATGAAAACATCTCAGCCCTGTGCGAGTCTGCGGGTGCCAGGGATGGGGTGGGAGCATGAGGAAGGACACGAGAGGATTCAGACATGACAAACAAGGAGGAGGCAGGAGGGACGGGACTGACACATGGTTTACCGCAGACTTGTAGGAATATGAACTGCTGGACGTGCCCTGGCTCACAGAATAGAACTACAAAACAAAAAGAGTCGACTCAGTCATGTGCAATGACACCAGGAGACACAAGCAGAGAGAAGGCACATGGAACAGCATCCAAAACACCCACGGAAAGAAGGTGCAGAGAAGGTGGGCGTGGAGAAGTTCTCACTTGGGAACACAGGCCAACCCAGCTCAAGGGCACCTGGCAGCACAGCCTGGGCTTTCTCCTCCATCAAGAACTTGCTAAATGGTCTTTCTTTAAATATTAAATGTTACCCGGTTCGAGTCGGATGTGGACGGTGCCTAATGGAGTTTACGACACAATTTATTTTTCAAACTCACGGCCATCATTGCTAATATTTTATGGTAAGAGGTGTGAAAATCTATAGAGATCAACAAAATACCTGTAAGTGACACTACAATCTGCACCTCACAGATATTTAATAGACATTTGTTAAATGAAATATGATCAGGCTGACAACCTTTAGCCAAACAAGTATTTCCTCATCTAAAAATCTAGACCTGTACCCTTAGCTTTCATGAGTATAGTAGTCTATACACATGCATGGTGTTCTTGCAAAAGTGAATTGAAATTTAAAATGCCAGGACACCTATCAAATTTTGAACAGAGAATATTTCTTTGACATAAGTAGCTAAATACAAAACTTGTACTGGCTAGTTGAATCCAAACCCATGGAAGAAGAAAGGTGATCATTTTGTCCCTAATAACATGCAAGGGCAGCGTGAAATGGAGGCGGAAGAAACCACTCGTATTTGCCCATGGCCTGGCCACTGGGATGTGGAATCAGAGGGACGGTGCCACCGAGTGGCTGGCAAAGGAAGAGGTTTGGAAAGTCAGTTCCTTACTTGGAAACAGCATACATTGGAAGGAGAGATCAAGTATGTTTTACCCTTGGACAACATGTGGAATCTGCCTTTGTGTCATTAATATGCCTCCTATCTAGGTGCTCCGGGGAATAGAGACATCAGAGTGTTAGAAATGTTTTCTGGAGGGGGGAGGAGGAAGTATGTCACCAGGGTAATATAAAAGAATAGCATCCTTACATTTTTTTCCTTCCAGGGTTAAATCCCCCCAGGAGATGAGGACAGGAATAGCAGTATTCTTTCTGCTGATATAATGGGCGACCACATTTCCCCCTATTTAGTTCCCCTTTAGTTCCCTCTTTTTGAACATAAACTCCCACTGAGGCACAGCCCAGACCATCTCTTTCACAAAGTAGCCTACAAAGCCTAAGAGTTTGATAAATGGATTTTTTTAAAGGCATGGGGCAAGGTCATTTCTCTCTTGTCTTTGAGCCCTGCTCCCTGCCTGCTGTAGCCTGCGCTGCCACGCCCACACAAGCTGGGTTGCAGGGCAGAGCCGTTCTCCACGCCCTCCCACTCTGCATCGTCACTGCCTTGCTTTCCACATTCAAGCAAGAAAGAACAGGAGGTGGACACAGGAAAGGACAAAACAAGGCAAAAATGTGTCACCTGTTCATCAGCACTAAATCGCCTAGTGATCTGAAAGTAAGAATACATTAGGACATAAAAACCAGCTTCGAGTCAAGAACATCTGGCTACTTCTATCACCCTCTGATAAGCTGGGATCATGTTGGTCACACTGCAAGGGGTGACCCATTAGTGTATCACCAATTTGATCTGGTGGGTCCTGATCAGCATTTGAAATTGAGAAGAAAATCCAAGTGCATTTCTCACTGCAAGTCAGGGTCAGAAGGAAACTATTTCCCACCGTGGACCATGGTCAAGGCCTAGCACAGTACCTGGTACATTAGGACTGAAAAGATGTTGAGTTGTAGGCCTGTGCGGTCAGTTCAAAAGAATTTTACTGTAAATTACATAAAGGTAAACAAAGAAAAGAGATACCTGTGTCTGGTGGAGACTACAGGTGTCATGGGCCTTCCAGTCTATTTCCATGGCCCTCTCACTCTTTCCTTTGAAGGGTGCATTTGGTGCAGAGATGATCAGTTACTTTTTGCCTGACTCTACTTTTTCAGTGGCTGTGGCCTACTGAAAAGAGTAGTTCTTGGGAACAGAGGCAAACATGGACAATGGTATTTTCTGGAATGTTCGTGTGAACACCATGTTAAGTTTAAGGATGAGTAGGTACGGGTGCACATGAGCGGCTCTGGGATATCTATCTGCGGACAGGGGGGGTTCAGATCCTGGGACAAAAGGGACCTCCCATCCTCTACAAAAAGCAGGCTGCAGTCTCAGGCCCTGAGTTTCTATTGTTTTCTGGGGTGAACCCAGGCAAGGAAACCACTGCTCTCCCCTCGCTGCTGCCAAAGTGTTCTTCTTACCTGTTTCATTTCACTCCTCAGTCTGTTAATGCCACTCCTCTCGGTTTTGGTGACTCCAGTATGTCCCACCTCATGGATGGAAACAGCGAGACTAGATGTGGAGGAGTGGATAGGGCGCACTGGGGAGGGAAACACACCTTCCTTGTAGAAAACTGAAACCACCAAACTAAGCAAGCCAGAATTAATGTCTATTGACATTTTAGTTGTTATCCTTCCAGTTTTTTTTCCAGTTTTTTTTTTTTTTTTTTTTTTTGAGACAGAGTCTCACTTTGTTGCCCAGGCTAGAGTGAGTGCCGTGGCGGCAGCCTGGCTCACAGCAACCTCAATCTCCGGGGCTCAGCGATCCTACTGCCTCAGCCTCCCGAGTAGCTGGGACTACAGGCATGCGCCACCATGCCCGGCTAATTTTTTGTATATATATTTTTAGTTGGTCAATTAATTTATTTCTATTTTTGGTAGAGACGGGGTCTCGCTCAGGCTGGTTTCGAACTCCTGACCTTGAGCAATCCGCCCGCCTCGGCCTCCCAAAGTGCTAGGATTACAGGCGTGAGCCACCGCGCCCGGCCTTTTCCAGTTGTTTTTAACTCACAAATCAGAATCCTCATATACATATGCATAGATATGTAACCATATGAGGTAGATACATATATGACATGGACATACGTATGGTTCTGTGATCTGCGTTTTTGCACCTAATGTATCATGAATGTCTTTCCATAGCATTCAATATTCTATTGCATTATGTTTAATGATGGCATTTGATTTCATGAGTGATGAGTCGTCAATGATATACTCAATCCAATTTGTATTTTTCTAAAGGGTTCATCATAACTAATGTGTAGGCCTCGAACTGACCTTGCCGGGCTCTGTCCACACTCCCTTGTGACCCTTGGAATGCCCCATGGAAATGACAAAACTGCTGAGGGCTCCTGGGGGGCTTGTACCTCAGGCACCCATGGCCACAGGCTGGATGATGCAGAGGGCCCCCCTGGAGGCTCTGTCTGGGCACTGATGCAGGCGGGAATGCACTGTGCCCAGGGCTGACAGAGCGCAGGGGCAGAAGTCAGTGCTGTGGTGGTGCACAGAGAAGGGTCCACCCCCTGGCCTAAGGTGGGAGGCGCCAGAAGAAAGGGAGATGGCAGAGCGGACAGAGCCTGATGAAGGGCCTCGGGCAGGAAGGGGAAGTGCTGGGACAGCCAGGTAGCCCGGGTTTGGAGGTGGAGGCCTGAGGGGCAGGGCGGGGAGGTTCTCTCTGCTGGGCCAGGCCACTAGCCCTCACTTCCAACTTACTACACAAGCCTTGGGACTCACATCTGTCCCTGGCCCTGCCACGAGCCCCGCCTCTGCTGTGATCACAGCGCTCATTCTAAAAGGCAAGTGTGATCATGTCACTGCTGGTTCAGAAGCTCCCAGGCCTAGCTGTTTTCAGGATAAAGCCCAAACAATCCTCCCAGCGCCAGCCAAAGCCCTACCTACTGGAGCCCTATCCGCCCTTCTGCTCCTGGCCAGCCACATTGTACCGGGCATTTGCACATGCTGGCAAAGCAGGCCCAGCCCAAAGGCCAATTCCTCAGGCAGCATCCCTGCATGTCCCACCTGCCCATCAAACTCCACTAAAGCCACTGGAGTGACAAATAAGGAACCTGGGGACACTAACATTTAAAGGACAGCAGAGAGGGAAAAACCCACAAAGGGGCCACAAGGAGCCACGATGACCCGCCAGACAGGGAGGAAGGACACCAGGGAGGTGGAAAGCAGAAGCCAAACGGGGTCCGGGAAGCCACAAGCAGGCCTGGTTGGAGTATTCGCTGGAAATCTTCATCTCAGACATCTCAGGATTTAATCAAAATTCTAAGCCTATTTGAGTTTCCCAATTTATAAAAATCGAACAATTACAAAGGACAATTAACAAATAATGTTATATTTTAAAAAGACAGCTTGTCTTCTGTACTTACTTGCAATTAGACATGTTTATGGCTTTCAAATGACATTACCTGGTTCCTAGGTTCACAAAATCCCTAGCTTTATATCTAATGACAAATTTTTAGTAATTATCTGTGTCAAACCATGAATACTACAACGATGAGCAGAACATATTAAATATTTATCTTGCACATTTACATTTCAAGAATTGTGCATTGAAAAGAACTACAGCTTGCTTTTGGAATGAGATCTCGAGCACTCCGGCTTCAGGAGAGGAGAAAAGCCACCAATGCACATCTGTTGCATGGTGCAGTCTCTGTTTGAGGCTGGCACACACTTGGGAAAAATACAAAGTACCTAATGCCGTTTTTATTAAATAAAAGGAATGAGAGCCCACAGTGCATTTCTTTGGCTTGATGAAATAAATTCACCAATGTGTCTGCAAATCATTTAGCTTTTTTGTGAGGAGGAGAAATGATAATCGCTTCAATTATAATTAGGGAGCATTTGAGAACAAGAATCACACCAGGACGGGGGCGATTATATTTCGTAGCACTGTGAGCAGGATTCTGGCACAGATAAAAACTGAGTGAGCGAGACAGGACAACGCAAACTAACCTAGCTCGAACTGCTGTGAGGTCACAGGAGGGTTGTCTCCCTGCCCCGTGCAGGGTGGCGTGAGGCCTAGTTGAGAAATGCTTTTACCCAAACCAAGGCTGGGACTCTCGGGTGATTTGAAAGGACAGCCCTTTTGTCCTGACGCTTGGGGTCTCCCCCTGACTTCTAACACTTGTGCACCTATGATGGCACTCGGCACACCACACTCACATGCCAATTCACCCTGAGGAAGGAAAGCTCTCCCAGCAAACCCACGAGCACATCCCAAAGCTGTACAAGCAGGAAACCTGAGCCTGGCACTCCAGCCATCTCCTTAAGGTAGGAGCCTCACCTTCCCATATGCATCAAGTCCTGAATCTATAGTGCTGGTGTTGACTTGAATAGAAAGGAGGCAGCTCCCCGGAGAGGTAACAGGAGCATTTACTTACCGCTTCTCTCAACACCAAACTCTTTTCCGCTTAGAATATGGTGCAGGAGATTTTTCATATCAAAAGGGCTGAGGTTCATTAAACTTTCAGAAGCTTCTTCCCCTAAAAACAAATAACTTGTAAAAGTCCCAGACACAGGGCTGGTGGCGGGTGAAGGTAAGGTGTACCTGGGTGTCGAGGGGGTAACCAAGGATGCTGTACAGGGCCCACCCCACTAGGAGGACCTCACCATGGCTTCAGGGCTGAAATGCACTGATCTGTAGTGATTTGAAATGCTGCTGCTTAAATTGTTTATTTGCTTAACTCTTAGACACAGAGTTTTTCACAGTGTACTTATCCCCAGTATTGGGCTGCATCATGCAATTGGTTTTTATATTTAAACTGGTAGAATTTCTTCCAGTGAAGGTGGTACTAAAGGGGGGATAACATCTCATGGCAAAGACACTCAGTAAGGGGCTTGGATGCCAGGTGCAGAGCGGAAGGTCCTGCACTGCTTAGGAGGGTTGATGGCAAACGTCACTGGCGCTTCATCCTCCCTGATCAGGAACTTTGGCATCCTGTGCTGCATGGCTTGATGGGACTTACATCCAAATGAGAGAACCGGTGGAGGCCTGAGCTCGCCCACAGGAGTGGGAGGCCAGTAGAAAAACACCTGAGCAGGGCTTCCCCCCTGCGTGACGGTGGCCGGGAGCCGCCACATCTCACCTGAGCAGTTGAGGCTCCGCGCCAGCTCAGTGGCCATCACCTGAATGATCAGTCCGATCCGCAGTCTGAGCATCTCCACGAAGAGGCTAGGCTGGGCCCTGACGTACATAGCCAGGTAAACCACAATCTCCTGATGCAGACACACATGGAGACATGGTTTCAGAGACCCAGGGGTGACCAAGAGGCCCCCTGCCCCTCCAGGGAAGGCCGTGGCTGGAGCGCCCCACGCCAGCAGCTGACCTGTGTGAGGACGGCGATGCTGATGTCCTGCCCACTGGCCTCGTAGATGAGTTGTGTGAGCTCCTCTGGGGGAAGCGGCCTAGGAAGGAGCATCAGATCACAAACAAGATGCGGTGCCGCGGCAGTGCCTCCTTGCCCTCCATGGAAGATCCCTGTTTTTGGTGCTAGAAGTGTCCATGTGACAGTGTCTTTACAAAGCCCCTCCTCTGAACGCTGGAGAGCACTGATGTTTTCCCCACGGCTCCCCCCACAAACCTGAGGTCCCTGGGGCCAAGGACTTACGCAGAGATTGTCTTTTCTCGGGGCTCGGGTGGCAGGCCCACCGTGAGCTGCTTCTGGTGTGACAGCAGGTCCGTGCAGGCCTACACATTTGGGAGGAGAGTGAGTGTAAGAGAGATTCACAGAGATGACTGGGAGGGGCACTGCCAGTAAGACGGTAAATTTATCTTTACAAATTTTATGACTCACATTGCTTTTTATTTGAAAAATTCATACTTAGACTCTGGAGTAAGTCCCCATAGTCTCGGTGTCTCTAGTGTGTGGCCCCAGGCCTGGCTCTGCAGGGCCCATTAGCAGGCATTTAATGCCCATCCACTGTAGCAAACACAATGGACTCCCTGATATTCAACAAAGTGGAAATGAGTCCTAAGATACCGATGGTAAGAGTTAATGACCATATTATAGTCCTAAATTACCACTTTCTCCATTATTCACATATAATAAATACCATCACCTTAGCATTGTAACACTGAACTCAAATGTCTTAGAAAGTGCTTCTGGATTTTGCAGGGCCTCAGAGTTATAAATATTAATGATCATCATACTGTGGATGTGCAGAAAAAAGAGAACTCCTGTTTAAGAGGATGCCAGGCCAGAGAGCATTTTCATTCGATTTCTTGGCAAGGCTTTTTCTGTAGCTAAGAAAGAACAAAACTAATCCACTGGAATTTCCTTGCCTCTGCTTGCTTTCCCAGAGCAGCAGGCGGACAGGAGGGAGGGCCTGCTCCATCTCTAGATTAAAGAACGGGTCTCCTTTACAAATAGTGCTTGCCTCGAGCCTTTGTAACTAGAAGATGGAAGTGGAAGAGGAAGAGGGCAAATGGCTAGAGAGGACAAGGGGCAACGGCACAGTCATTCTGACCTCGGCCAGGACCTCCACTTTCTTCCTGAGCAGTCCCGAGATATATCGAATCAAGCCCCACTCCTGGTTCAAGCCGGCCTTCCCGTAGAGCTCGCTGAGAAGGTTGTGAACAGTGACCCCATGCTGTCCTGAGAGATTTGTGTCCCAGCTGGGACCCCTGTCAAGAGGTAGAAAAATCCAGAAATATGGCCCAGAACGTTTAAAGGCTGGGAGAAGAATGAATCACTGCACATTCTGCTGAGTGCTCGGGCACTCCCAGTGTCTCCATCTCCCTGACAGGGTTATGTCCTACTGAAGCGTCCCTGTGTCTTTTGAAACAGAAGCCTAACATCAGGACATTGTGGGATCCTGGCCTCACCCAGCCTTCTAGTCCTGGGAAACCAGCATCAGTAGCCAGAGAAGGGGCTGGAAGTCTCACCATGGTGAACCTGGGGATTGTGGTGGAACATAATCATGACCCAGGCTAGCCAGAAGGCCAAGAGGACTAGGAAAGAGAATGAAGGAAACTGAGAAAACTCAACCTGGCGAAGAACATAAACTCACTGCTATGGGCTAAATGTTTCCCCCTAGTTCATATGCTGAAATCCTAACCCTCAAGGTGATGATATTAGGAGGTGGGGCTTTGGGAGGTGATTAGGTCATGGGCTGGAGCCCCCTGAATGAGGTCCCTTACAAAAGGGACCCCACAGAATTTCCTTGCCTCTTCCACCATGTAAGGACACATCGAGAAGGCACCAACTAGGAGAAAGTGGATCTTGCCCTCACCAGACACTGATTTTGCCTTGATCATGAACTTCCCAGCTTCCAAAACTGTAAGAAATGAACTTCTGTGGTGCATAAGGCACCCAGTTGATAGTATTTTGTTAGAACTGCCCAAATGGACGGAGACACTTACTTTATGACGTAAAGAATGTACAGAATGTCTGCTTGGTCTTGCAGGTTCGAACAATCTTTCAGCTGCTCAACCAGCTTCTCACAGTCCACTTCACCATCGTCATCTCTGGGCCATTGGAAGTCATCTTCGGGAGGCTGGCCACAAAAATGCCGAGAAACAGGGAGAGTGGCTGAGCGTGGGAACTTTCAGGAGATCAAGAAGTGAAACACCAACCTGGTCTTGGAACTCTCTTCTTGTGCTATGCTCCTGTTTCTCATTGACTCTTTTGTCCCTTTTTATTTATAGGCTTTGACTATTTTTGATCAGTGAATCACTGTGCTGGTCAACATTTGCAAGAAACCGGACTGAAAAGACTAACATATGTGTGAGTTTTATTTACGCAAGGTTCAAAAACAAGCAAAACTAACCCCTGGTGTTAGGAACCATGGCAGCAGTTATCTTTGGATTGGAGGGGGAGGAAAAGCCAGGAATGGGGTACAGAGGGTGGCCATTTACTGGGTATACTGGCTCAGTGACGATTCATTGAGCTCTATGCTTTATGTACCTTTCTGTATATATGTTAGATTTTAATAAAATATTTTTTGAAAACAAAGCGAATACAAAAAGTATGTTTTAAACAAGCTAAAATTGAAGTTAGGTTAAAATAGTCTCCACCAGGCACTGAGTCTTTCTATTCATGTGGGATAAAAGCAGGGAAGACTTTTGGATAAAATAATAGATTTGGAAGTCAATGAGGAACACCATGAGATTCTATTCTGAGGAATCTTTTATGGGTTTTTAAAATGACATTAAGACATTAGGAACAAGGAGTTCTGCACCCTGTTCTGCAAGTAGTCCCACCTTGGCTGGCTGGCAGATAAGACAGGGCTGGGTGGTGAGCTGGTTTATTGCCTCTGGTGCTACATGGATTCTGGTGAGTGGGCAGAAAGGCAGTAGCCTTCTCCTACAGGCAGAGTATAAAGGTTTGCATCAAATTCAGTGTACACACTGATGTACACCAGATCCCAGACAACTAGGTGGGTCCGCATCAAATCCCAAAGCTTTCAAACCTAAAGGTCCTAGGTATCAAGGAACATTCTCTTTCTTTTAAGTTCCACCACTTAAAAGAGTTCCTGGGACCAACCCAGAATTGTAGAACATTACACTTAAAAAAAAAGCAATTCCAAATACTTTACCTTTTTTAGGAGTGGCTGAGGAGAGTCAACAAGATTCAGTGATTTACGGTGGACACTTAGAGCATTATTTGGCAAAGTCATGGGAACAACTGCAGAACAAAAGAACAAAGAGAGCTCTCTGAGGAGGAGAAGTAATAAAACAGTCCTTTTGAGAAGTACGTGGCTACTCCTTATTTAACACAAACCAGCTGAAGGAATGATAACTTCTTTAGTTTAATTTCAGCAAGAACTCATCATATAGCCACATCATGTGCTAAATCAGGGAACAAGAAATGAGCAGGGAATGGATTGTGCTTTGAGAGCTGAATTTTACTTTTCCCCTCTGGAATTCAGGGAAAATTACGTGGCATCTTAGGACTGGAAAGAGCCTTAGAAGTGACTGTGCCCGACCTCTTTTTTCTTTCAGATGAGGACACTAAGAGCTAGAGAGGGTAGACCATTTGTCTAAGGTCACTGGGCTTCCTGTCCAGTACTGGACAGCCCTGCCAGGGGTTAGGACTTGTTTTTTAACTGCCTTTGGATATTATCATTAGCAATATTTATTCATTAAGCCATCTCTGTCTTCCAGGTTCTATCATATCATCTCAGGAGAATAGGAAGCTTTCAAGGTAAAGATGATGCATATTTAAAAGGTATTTATAAACCTCCAGGTTATACTAGTGAATTGAATACACATTATAATTTAATTTTCTCTCAATTCCCCACTAACACTACAGAGAATATATACAGTCATGTGTCACTTAATGACATGATTTGTTCTGAGAAATGCGCTGTTAGGCAATTTCGGTGTTGTGTGAACATCACGGAGTGTACTTACCAAACCTAAATGGTACAGCCTGCCACACACCTAGGCTAGATGGCATAGTCTATTGCTACTAGGCTACATACCTGTACAGGGTGTTATCATACTGAATACTAGAGGCAACTGTAACTTGATGGTGAATATTTGTGTATCAAAACATACTTAAACATAGAAAAGGTACAGTAAAAATACAGTATAAAAGATTAAAAACAGTACACCTGTGTAGGGCATTTACCACGAATGGAGTTTGCAGGACTGGAAGTTACTCTGGGTGCGTGAGTGAGTGAGTGGTGAGTGAACGTGAAGGCCAAGGCTTGAGACATTACTGTGCACTACTGTAGGCTTTATAAACACTGGACACTTAGGCTACACTAAATTTATCCAAAATAATTAAGTATTTTTCTTTCTTCAATAACAAATTAACCTTAGCTTACTATAACTTTTTTACTTTAATTTTTTTTAACTTTTTGACTCTTTTGTAATAACACAGCTTAAAACACAAATACATTGTACAGCTGTACAAAAATATTTTTTTATATCCTTATTTTATAAGCTTTTTTTCTATTTTTAAAAATGTTTATTTTTCACTTTCTAAACTTTTTGTGAGAAATAAAGGCGCAAACACACACATTAGCCTAGGTCTGTCTACACAGGGTCAGGGTCATCAATATCACTGACTTCCACCTCCACATCTTGTCCCACTGGAAGGTCTTTGGGGCAATAACACACACAGAGCTGTCATCTCCTATGATAACAATGCTTCTTCTGGAAGACTCCTGAAGGACCTGCCTGAGGCTGTTTTACAGTTAACTTTTTTTTAATAAGTAGAAGGAGTATGTTGTAAAATAATGATAAAAAGTATAGTATAGTAAATCCATAAACCAGCAATATAGTAATTTATTATCAAGTATTATGACTGCATAATTATACATGCTGGACATTTACATAACTGGCAGTGCAGTATGTTTGTTTATACCTTTTTACACCCACATCACCACAAACACATAATGAATGTGTTGTGCTATGATGTCATGGCAGCTATGACATCACTAGGTGATAAGAACTTTTCAGCTCCATTGTAATCATAGGGGACCAGTGTTGTCTATGTGGTCTGTCACTGACTGAAATGTTGTTATGCGTTGTATGACTATATATATTACAGAAAAAGACAAGTCCTCAAGAATAGGGAAAAGCAGGAGAGAAGATAATAGTAACAAAATTTTGAAAAGGGGAAAGCTGATGGATGAAGATAACTGATTTAGCAGATACAAGGCAACCAAAGCCCAAGTCTGCAGTGGAGAAATCCAAGAACCAGTCAGGTTTATGGCAGAGAATCCTCAGAAGTCTCAGGAACTTGCTGTACTTGGGGGTCCAAAGCAGGTGTCCAAAATAAGGAAGACTGGGGAGAAGCTGTTTGAGAAGCAGTGATGCCATCTTCAACTGCACATAGCTTGGTGACTGCCTTGCTCACTCTGGCAGAAGATAGTCTGTTTGAAGAGGGTAAAAGGGGTAGGGTCTTAGTGGGGAGGGGAGCATCTAAAGGCCTGGATATATCCCTTAGGGGAATTAAGAAACTATATGGCTCTAGGCAACCAGACCCCTGCCCTTCAAGTAGGAGATTATAGAGTATCTCTGGGAAATCTGACCAGCCTATACCTATACAGGCCCAATAAGTCAATAAGCCCTTCCCCTACGTAGGCTTGCAGATGCTCACACATGATCAGGTAACCAAGGAGCACCAGGCACTGGAGGGAGGCCTCTCAAGGGGAAGATAAAAACCTAAACAAACAGGAAAACAGTGACTTTGGAGAAATGGAAACCATTCAGAAAGAAGAAAACGTAAATACAAACAAACACAAACAGAAATCTCTGTCATTAATATCCTTAGAATAATAAATTACATTGCATGCATGAAACAAGAACAGATGCAATTTGGAGAACAAAGATTTAAAACATGATAGCAAAAGTGAAAAAACTCAATTAAGGTAGTGGAACAAAAAGTTGAGGCAATTGCCCTCAGAACAGAGAAATGGAAAACAGAAGAGAAATGACAAAGACTTCTTTAGGAAGTCAACTTTGAAATCATAGAAATTCCAGAAAGAGGGAACAGAGAAAATGTAGGAAAGGAAATGAATCAAGAGGTTTTTCAGGAAAACTTTACAAAACCAATAAACATAAATTTCCAGATTGGAAAGGTCCACTGATTACCTAAAACAATGAATGAAAACATGCTCAGATCAAGGCACATCACAGAAATATCAGAACCTGAGAGCAGAGAAGATCCTAAACACTTTCAAAGAGAAAAAGAGTTTATTTTTGGAGGATCAAAAATCCGAATGGGTTTAATTTCTCAACAGCAACACTGATTAATAAGATGACAATGAAGTCATGATTTTGAAAATCTGAAGAAAAACGTATTTTCAGTCTAGAATTCTATACTCAGCTAAACTCTCAAATGGGTATAGAATATTTGTAGATAATTTCAGACTTGTAAGGTTTTAACAATTTTTACCTACCATGCACTATTTCTCAAGAAACTACTGGATGTCTGCCACTAAAATAAGAGAGTGAAACAAGAGAAAGGAAGAATTGAGATACAAAAAACAGGAGAGCCAACACAGGAGATGAGTCAAGACACCATCCAGAGTGATGGCGAAGGAAGATTTCAGAGTAAAAAGTGCATCTCTTGGTTGACATGGAGGGCAACCAAGGCAGAGGGGCAGACAACTTCGGAAACATGCAAGTTGAAGGCTGTCACGAACATGCCCTCTTTTCCATCACACCATTTTTTTTAACCTATTAAAACTATTCTAGAATGTGCTCTACCCAAACAAAGAATATTAAGAAAGGGGAAGACACCAGATTCAAGAAATAGGAAATCCAACTAAAGATGAGCCAAAGAAATTCCCAGGATACCAAGTATGTGACAGGCCAAGAGCACAATCAGCCCAGACAGAAGGAGACTGGTGGACTTTAAAAAAGTAGTGGAATAGATGGATTCACTGATGTGATTGATCTTGTGGAAATTTGTATTGCAAGGCTATTGGAAGATGTAGAAAGGAAGCAAAGCAAACGAAAAGCCAGGACAACCTTAACTTTAGAAAAAACAAAGAGTAAAAATGGTAATATAATCACAGCATACTATAATGCTGAGTTGGAAAGAATATTGACATACATATAATAATACCAAGAATGAATATTGATTTAACTAAACTTTAATATAACTCCTTTGGTGGGTTAGGGGGGATTAAGCAGAGGAGTGGTGATTTAAGACAGCCAAATGCTAATCCACAAAATATTTAATAGAAATTCAAAAGGTACTGAATCAAATTGATACATCCAAAGACAGCGGTGTACATACTTATTTTAGAAAATATAGATATATAAATGTCAGAAGAAACAGCTAAAAGAGCTGAAAGTGGCTGCCTCTAAGTAGAAGGGGGGGCTCATTTTGTTGTCTTCTAGGATTCTTTGGCTTTTATTATGTCCAGGCATTACCTTGATAAAATAAGGCATTTTAATAGGTAGAAATGAATTAATAACGTACATGGCATGTCCAAACCCTTTGCTTTTGCCATCACAGAAAGTATGTCACGAGTAGAGTGGATGGCACTGAAGACATGGCTGTCTTCTGTCTTCTTACAAAGAGGGGGCAGATAGCACCTCAAGGATGTGCTTTGCAGAAGGTGGTTGATATACTGGTCAAGTTCGTCTTGGCTTTCTGTAATTGACAAACAAGCAAAAGAGCCAATGAAAACAAGCTGCAGAAATATCAACTGCATAGTAGTGACTGTGCGTAGCCAGTGCCACTGCATAGACTTAGCAGAAGACAACATCTAGATACCCACATTTGCACTCCCACCCACCCCCAAAGAGTAAAGAGATTTATGGAGTTAATGTATATGTGTATTAATTTACTGTTCGGAAAAACTTCATGCTAGGAAAAGAGAATCCAAGTCAAGATAGTGTCCACGTCCCATCATCCCAAAATGAACTGAATAATATATAAGACAAGGTCTAGTCTTTTTGTGTTAATTTGTCATAAGTGAGCTAAGCTTTATGGAACTCCCTGCCTTAACCCCAACTATTATCCAAAAGTAAAAAAACAGGTCAAGTCATTTCCAAACCTTGCTCGGACTGAGAAATATCACATACATAGGGTTTCATCATTCATATCCAATCAAAGCTAGATCGCTTTGCCACTCCTTTGAAAATTCAAGCAGTGTGTTTCTGTCTTCAAAATGTATTTTGTGAAAAGTCCCTGTTCCTCAGACTCTTCTAGGTTTAAAAAAGCCCCACTTTCAAGGGTATCATTTGCAGTTTAGGTTTTTAAACTGGCATTTTAGTCATTTTTAAGATGAGTAAGTTTCAGAAGCCTCTCCTTTTTCTGTTTGTTTTTAGTTTAATTATCCATCATTTTCTGTGCTTAGGTCTTAAGGCAATTTTCTCATAATGCCAAGGTTTAAATAAATTCACTGAACCACCTACAAAATCATTCCAACCCGTACCTTGATCACAGGTGTCTTCCAAATATCCTCCCTGATCTGAATCGCTATCAGGACTGAAGTTCCCTTCGTTGGCATCATCAAACAACTTCTCATCACAGTCTGGATCCAGGAAGGTCAGATATGTGTAGAATGACGTGGTGAGAAATTCCGAAAGGTTCCCCAATTTCACTCTGCCAAGGAGACAATATGTTAGGGATACAGGTGCAGTGTGGACAAACTTCCGCTATGAATCACTGAGAGATTTTCAACAACCAGGTGGTGCTTCTGCCAGAATCAATAAATATATTACTCTGCAGATTGCTCCATAGAAATAGTCAGCCAAGAATTAGACAAAAATTCAATAGCAAGTATGAAGTGAAAGCACACAGCATATTAAAAGCCATATAAATCATGCTGATTTTGTACTCCCAAACCCAACACAAATACAAATCTATTTTATTGAAACAACCAAAGGTTTTACAGAATATGTTGAGCAAACCACTTTTAATCAGAACCAACCCATGTTTTTTGGTTCTTTGTTTGTTTTTTGCCCTGAAACCACTAGACGAGAAGCAGCATTTCTCTGGGCATGCTCTCGCCGTTATTATGAGTCCCTAAGCACAAAGTGCAGTCATACAGGACAGGGTGTTAGGATGGAAGAGGCAAGTTCTCTAGAAGAAATTTGATGGGCAGGCCATCTGCAGCCTAGGGAAGATGCCCTGCGTGGCCCCATGACATTAGGCTGGGCACAGTGCCACTGAAAACCGGAAGCTGGTGGCAGCCCAGCATCTGCCGCAGAGGCAGCAGCCTCCAGGTTCTGCAGGTCCACCCCCAGATGCTGGGAGGATTTCCACAGAAAGAAACATTCTGAAAATGTTAGATAGGAGGCAGAAAACAACAGGGTCCCTCCCAGGGAGCTACGGGCATCAGATTGTGACTTAGGTGGCAAAGCAAAGGAATTCATAGGGGCTACAGCAGACAGATGGCCTGAGGGAAAGGAAAGCCTTCCCGCAATTAAGTAAAAGCTCCCCCCAGCCCTGGGGTTGGGGAAGAAGACTACGTGGACTGGAGTGGGTAAAGGCAATGGAAAGTTCTTCTGTAATGAAGGTGAAGGGAGTCAGGTTTATTAGGCTAAAGAGAGCTCCAAGGCAGAGAGGCGGTAGCTCAAAGAGGCCTTTGATGAACAGTGAGCTACCCCAGGTGGATCCTAGGGGTAGAGTCCAGCATGCAGGGTAAGTTCAGCTTTTTCAAAAGCTTTTAACTGGAGGAAAAGTAAAAATGGGATTCAACCTTAATTAACAAGAACATAATTATCTTTGCAATATAATCTTTATAACATAATTTATTATATTAATGTAGTTATAATTATATAACATGTATGTTATAATTAATTATGACTATATTAATTTTATAATATAAGAATTATAAAGATCTTAATGATCAAGAACTGAGTAGGAGAAGGAGTCCAGGCATTCCTGTCTCTTCTGTGGCGCATGCCACGCTCTATCTGCGGAGGCCCTCCTGCCCCCGCCTGGGAACCCTCCTCCAGTTCAGCCCCTGGGTTAGAGGCTGGGTCTGGCCGTCACACAGAGCTTCTGCACCTGTCCCTCTGTGACCCTGGCTCTCTGAGTCTGCAGTTCCTTGTCCATCAAATGGGAATACAGCCCATGTCATAAAGTGAAGATTACATGAGACACCACATAGAACACACTGTGAGTGCTCAATTAACTGCAGATGATATCCTTTTTACAATGATTAAATTTCAATGAAAGAATTTATTTTGCAAAATGGTTAATTACAGGCCTGTCGGTTTTTTTCTCTCCATTACAATGCCACATGCCAGGTGGTAACTTATCCAAACTGGAGGGAAAATGTACAAAAGTGGATGCAGATTGCAGTAGTGGCACTGGCCCTAGAAGTGTACACGGCAAACCGTTGGGGACAATCTGGCTGATGCTCCCAAGAGAGAAAGGCCAGGAAAAGCTTGGTTCGAGGGTCACTTCAAATGTACAGCAAAACCTACAGCACATTCTGTGGGTGGAGGCAGCGACCTCAGTGGGCACTGCACATCACTGAGGCCAGAGTGAGAAATACAGCCATTAGCCTTGAGGACATTATGCTAGGTAAAATGAGCCAGTCACAAATTGATTAATATTACATGATTCCACTTATATGAGCTATCTGTCATAGTCACACTCATAGACACAGAAAGGACGGTGGTTGCCAGCGGCTGGGGAGGGGGGAAATGGGGAGTTTTTAAACTGACAGAGAGTTTTACTTTGCAAGAAGAGTTCTGGGGATTGGGTGCATAACAATGTGAATGTACTTAACACTACCAAACTGTATACTTAGAAATGGTTATGTTATCTGTATTTTACTTCAATTTTTAAAAATGACAGTGACTTTTCCTTTGGTAGCGGGGTCCCTGGGGTGGGAGGCTGGTGAGAAGAAAAGGCAACTTCAACTCTCAAACACTTTTAGCAACTAGTATTCCATCAGGCACCATGGAAGCTTCCGTGAGCCCCGGAAAGGCCACACCAGGGACAGGCTACACAGTGAGGTTCTCTTGGGGCCTTTCTGGCAAATCCCAGGGGATTCGGGGAGATGAGGGCATAGGTGCTATAGAGCAATCCTCTGCGTTGTGACAGTCAGAGGCTACAAACATGGAAGGGGGTTTCCTGGAGGGCAAGCCCCCCCATTGCTCAAGATGCTTAAGCATAATACCTGGGCACATCTGTCCTACTTTGGGCCTATAAACAGGAAGGGAGCATGTCCCACTGATAGCAAGGGGACAGTGATCTATGCAGGCCCATTCAGGTGCTCTGCTCTGAGTGCCACTAAGGAATTTGTCAAGTTCTGCAAATTATTCTTAAGGTGACAGCACACTCAAGTCAATGCAAGGAGTGTGTATTGAACACCTGCTGGATCCCACGTACTGGGTATTTTCTTCCATGCCTTTTAACAGAAACACACACAGCATTCCACACATGCGCTCCAAGAATGTCACTTCAGAGGGACTTGGTATGTTCACCTCCCTACACCCGAGGCCTGCTGGTGCCTATAAAAGCTTAAAAGACATCAACCAAATACTATTTTAGAGATAAGTCAAGTTTCACATGGGAGACTGGATTACATAAGTCTTAACCTCCTTTTACTCTAAAAGTCCATGCTTCCCTGTTCAGCAACTGATATGAAAAATGGAAGACAGGCAGCAAAAGACTTTAAGAAGGGTCAGTGCTACTCTTATTTAAAAAGAAAAATCACAAATTACCTAGCACCTCCAAAATATCCATCCTCTAGTTTTCTGATTGTAGAAAGAACAGCAGGATGAATGTCTGAGCCATCATTTGCTAAGGAAAAAAAAATGAATTAGTTTATTTAGTCTGGGAATACTTTTTTTTCTTGGTATACACTGAAATGTGTTCATCAACACAATCTGATTAAAATACTTCTAGCAAAGAAGATTCCCAAGATAGGAAACCAAACGCTAAGAACCCCCTTTAGTCTTTAACTCTGTCCAAAGGAGCCAATTTAAACATTTGGAAAAGGGCCCAAACCACCACCGGCACAGGAATTGGCCCGATCAAATTCCCGCGGCATTACTGAGCATGGTGTGCGTGATGGGGAAGGTGAGCGTGGGTCTGCCAGTCATCCGCCAGCAGGTGCACAGGTAGGCCAGCTCAATCCTCAGCATCTCCACAATCATCTCATTGTCCAGGGCCAGGTAGAAGTGATGCTGGTCGGTGAACTGAAAGGCAGCACAGGCCAGGTGAGAGCCTGTCGTTTGTTTACCTGAAACACCAGCTGTCACTCAGAGCAGCACTAATCCTGGAGTTTTATTGCCAGGGAAGAGGCTCAGTCCTGCCTTTAAGCTGTCCAGTCATGGGGCTGCTCTCCTTGAGATCAGACAAATTAGTCTGTCGCCTGCCCAGGAGCTGTCACTATCTTAGTTCAGAAGGGAAAGGTGTACTGCTAAATCTATATTCAGCTCCACAGATGGGGATTTAAGCATCCTGCCTAGTGCCGCTGCCTCTGAAAGCAAATCAATAATTCCTTAATTCCTACTCCTTCCAGGGCTACTGAGTTTGAAGATGCTTTCTGAGCAGGGGCACTGAGAGCAGGTGAGACGTGGAGACTGTTTACCTGATTGATGACCTGGTTAATGTCAACTAAAGGCACCGTTGCCTGATGTTGATAAAAATCAAATTGTTCTCCTAGCCTCTAGAAGAGTGCATACTCAGCTCTGGACTGAAATTTGTTTCTAAGGGAAACAACTCGCAAGATTTTGATGAGCAGATTGGGGCTACTAACCCAAGACACTGTGACCAACTGTGTGCCCAGGTAAGTGAGGGCTGGGACCCGTGCTGTTGGTATTTCTAGCTGCCCAAATGGGTGGAAAACATTTGGTATGCGCTTCCTTGGGACTAGTTTTCTTTGGAAACAAAAGCTCCACAGATAAGTTCCATAATCAGAATATTTAGCATCCAGGTAAGGGGGCTGCGGTCTGAAAATCGGACTGGCTGTGTGTTATGCAGAGGGTTTGACAACAGCCTACACAAGGGTTGGGGACTGTTACCATTAGGTGCACAAGGCCTGCAGTCAAGTGACATGTCACCAGCAAATTTCTAAAACAGTGTGAATTTCAGTAACATTCATGACTGGAAATTATGGCACACTTAATTTGATTGAATCAGATTTCGAGGACCTACTATGAGCGAAGAATTGTACTAGGTACTGAGTGTCATTTTATGTCTTTATCTGAACCTATGTATGTAGAATTCTGCCACATTGAAAGTAGAAAAGCTTACTATGCAGCAAAGAGAACTTAATATAAATAAAAGAATGCTCTTCTCACCTGTGGCGTAAAAGTAAAGATTTGGTTCCTAATCACATATAGTTTAGAGGTTCCAAGGACACCAATGTGCCGATACGGTCGCCCACTCAATTGCATATTCTTATTCCGACCTATTTTAAACATAAAAGAGAAACTAGAGTTAGAGGAAATGCAGTAACAACTAATCTGCGTGACTTAGGCTAAGGCTGGGCTTATTTTTACATTAGACAACCCACTTTTGGGTTTGGTTTTTCCACTACCATCGTCCTTCTTTAAAATGGGACAAAGCTGAATATAAAACCACCCCCCCTTGTTTTCATGCATGTATATGAATACACACAGTTCAGTCTGTATGGAACAAAACTATTAAAAGGACTATATTAATGTTTACTTTTAAATTATTTAGTATTGAACCATAATATTAAGCAGTCAGATTCTAGAGAAAGTAAAGAGATCCTTCTCCTGTTTAAATGGGGTAAATGAAAATTTTCTGATACTACAGATACAAATTAGAAGCATTATCAAGACATACATGACTCTTCCAATGGTGACTTTTCAAAGGTGGCTCCTTATTTTACAATAGATCTGGCCAATCGTACAGCCGACCTATGGGAGTATCTACTGAATGGGCGTGAGAAGAACATGCTTGTTTGCCCATTTCTCTTCCCATTGAAGTGGCAGAACCAGCTGCATTAGTGTTTTGCCCAATTCTTTAGAACTTACATACATCACAGTCTCCCCCAGACCCAAAACCTACACCCAAGATGCCCTTGCCCCAAATGCCCCTAGATTTCCCCAAACCTACCAAGCTTGGCATATATGTGACTAAGAATCCGGCCTGGCTGGACTCGAATTGGATGAATGTCTGCGATACTCTGCACGTTTATTCCATGTTTCCTCAACAACTCCTTAATGTGACTGTTTTCTGCCAAAACAGTAACTGTGAACGAGAAGACCAGAGAATCTGCATTAGATTGTGAGTCTTGTCTCTGCACATTGCTATGCATTAGTTGTTGCCCTTTCTTCTGCCCGATGACAAACACATTAGCATGCTCTTCCGTGCACTGGTCGGCTTTGGAAATGACAGTGTTCATCCTGCTGCTCTTCCTGGTCTCTCTGTCCTCGCCACCCCTCGATACCCATGATGCATATTTATCAAGTGCCCTCGAGGTGCAAGACAGTCTGATAAGAGGAGTCTAGAAATTGTCTTCAATAGGTCCCAGGCCAAATCACCCCATATGAAATAATGTCTTGCCTCCCTCTGGGTCTGTATTTATTCTAAACCTGTCTTGTGTCCTTTTCATACAGGGTCAGGCACGGAAACAGCTCTGCTCAGGGGATGGCAGGAGAAGCCTGTGCCCCTGCTCCCGAAAGACAGGGAAAAGAAGAGCGCTGTGGTGGAGGCTACTGGCAAGGGATGCTTCCATTGCAGGAAAGAAAGGAGGGGACATCTTTCAGAGAAAGGAAAATGGGCCTGCGAGTGGGACATTGGTGGTCGTGGAGCAGTCTGGCCCACCCAGAACCACAGCCCAGGGCCCTGCTGGTGGGGAAGAGCTGCTCCAGAGCTGGCCTGGGCCCAATCTCCAGCGGGTGAGGCTGGGCGTCTGGCACTCCAGCAGGCAGGGAGCTCAGAGTGTCTGAGACCAAGGACCTGAAGGTCAGCTGGGGCCCATGTCAGGGATCAGCTGGGCCGCACCTGCTGCACTGGTACTGCTGGCCTTTATGAGAAGGGAGGGTGCTGTGGCAGAGGGAAGGAGTGAGGGGAAGGGACTTAAGAAGGGGAGCACGGCCACAGGAGAGTGGTTGGTGCCACATCCAGCCTTCTGGGAATGGGAGGGGCTCCGGGCAGTGCTCAGGCCAGAGGAAATAGGCTCGGCTGCTGTTAAAGTGCTGGGGCCTGGATGCACAATACATACAAATGCCTTTGAGAACTGAATGTCACTTCCTTATATTTACATAGCAGGTAATGCTTTTTAAAGTATTTTAATATCTATTATTTCATCTGATCTTTACAAACAGCCCCCAGGGAAGCCTTGCATGCTTAACTGGCCAGTTATAACTGAACCAGGAATGAAACACAATCCCTCAGGCCCCTGCAAATGGGAATATCAGCCATGCAGGGCTGGCCCGGGGCTTCCCTTAACACCTCTCTCTTCTGAAGCTTCTGATGCCATGCAGAACTCCACGTTTATCAAAACCACGCAGCAGCCACTCTCCGTAGGAGGAACTCTTTCAGGGTAGTGGTTTTGATGGAGACCTGGGAGCAACGTGGATCAGTTCCTGAGACTGCACTTATCTTACTCCATGCCAGACCCTCTGAAAATTTCTACTTTGTTCCATTCTATTACACTAAAAAGATGCTGGTTAGGATCCACCATGTCCCAGCCTGCAGCTGGAAAAGCAGTCTTGTAGACTTAAGAGGCTACTTAGCAGGACGTGCCCTGGTTACGCGCAGGGATGATGCAGGCAGCTAGCTGCATCAGCCCACCTGGACGGCAGAAATGGGCTCGCACCTGCAGCTGTCAGCGGTGGGTCCTTGAGTGAGTAGGGTAACCTCTAAGCCTCACGTGTAAGGTGGAGATGATGATGATCATCATCATCACACATTTGACCTAATCAGAATGCTGTGACAGTCAGATGTGTCTTGTGGTGGGCCTGCCTCACAGCATCGATTGGGTGATGCCCCGCAGCTCATCTCACTGTATCATGGGCAAGTGCAGCAAAATGAGCCAGTGGCCACAAAGAGGAACACTCTTTGCGTGTTCAATCACCACTTTCAGAGTATGCGGCACATGTGCCAATCAACATAGAAGCTACAAGAATGATATGGGCCTTGTCTTTAAGAAGGGGGCAGTCTCATCTTGGGGCAACAAGGTGCATACACAATGTGATGTGACATTAGATGGTATAGGAGTGCTCCATGAGGCATGCAAAATGGTCCTCCCTAAGAGGGATGGGAGGAAGAGGACTTGCTACACCCGGTGCGTGCCACAGGTCAGGCACTGCACAGAGTTTTCCCCCATTGCAATCTCAGTTCATCTCAAGAAGGCTCAGTGAGGGAGCATGAGTCCTAAGGACCCCAGGCACAGAGAGGTGGAGTCAGGTGGTCAGGCCGGCCTCCCACCTCTCTGAAAGAGGAGCCAGCTAAAAAGAAGGGCCAGCGAGGTGGACACTGGTGAAAGGTGGAAAGAGCAGAACCCCAAGGGAGGAAGAAACGACCCTTGTTTGAGTCCTGAGTATTCGCCAGGCTCAGGTTCTATTTTTCAAAGAATAACGGTTATGAAAAATGATGCTCAATGAATCATTTCTGCCCCACTTGCAATCAAGGTTTAGATTTAAGAAAACAATTGCTTTGTAGAAAGTCAGTCTGTGCTTGGGAAGAATACAGTTGTCTTTGGGAGCTACTGAGATATATAAGGAATCTCAATGCACATACATATTTTTTTTAATTAAATAAGAAACCAGGAAAGAGTCTGAGTTAAAAATAACATTGGTTTTACAAAGTTAAATATGAATAGTAAACACGTTCACAAACCTTGTACCACAACATCAGGTTTGACCGAAGTGGAAAATCTTCTATTTAAGGGATCAATTTCACCAGCAGCAAGAAATCCCTACAAAAGAGGGATGTTGACACTATGAAATACTGATTAACTACAATTTCATCTTAAACCTAAGTTTGAAAATAAAATATTTTAGGGCTGAAAATATTCAATATTTTTTTCTTCACATTTTTCAAGTCAATTTCTTATGTTCTCTGAAACAGAGTGTACCATTCAAATTGCCACTGATAATCTCTTTTTGGCCTTTTGGCAAAGATCAAGTGTAGTTTGCCACTGATAAATGTATCGCATTTTTGGCACCTGAGCTCTCTAGGGCTAGTCAAGTCCATCATCTTGTATGAGCAAAAGAATGATGACTAATACATCCTGAGCTCTTACTACGTGCTGGGTGCTGTGCTGAGCTGCTGTATATACATTGTCACATGTGGGCCACATAACAGGCAGGCACCAGCATCATCACCATTTTTCAGGTGGGGAAACTGAGGTAACATGCATAGCAGAAGTGTAGAGTGTGGACTTGGCCCAGGGCTGACTGTTCTGAGACACAGAGGCCCCCCTCCCAAAGTGTGCTCTTTGAATATGTATCTCCTCCCACTGTCGAAAAATAATCGCAGCCCCAAGAGAGGGTATGGAGGTGTTCTGGGAGTTCTGAGCAGGAAATGGACCTAATGCTAGGCCCAGACAAGGCCTATACATTGGAGAGGAGGACGCAGAGGAGTAGAGTTACTCCTTTCCCATCTCACTGATACAGGAACCAGAGTTGGAAGGTATCACAGAGATGACCAAGTCCAACCTCTTCACTTTACAGATGAGGAAACTGAGGCCCAGAGAGGTTAAGAGGCCTACCTGAAGTCACAGAGCTAGTCAGGGACAGGGCTGGCTTTCCAAAGGAGATATATTCGTTTTCCCTACCAATAAAGACAGAAGCATAAAACATAGTCCCTACCCCAAGGACATGACCATGAAACTGGGGAGACTAGAGGTACCCATGAAACAGCTGTGGTACATGCCTGTAGTCCCAACTACTCGGGAGGCTGAGGCAGGAGGATCGCTTGAGCCCAGGAGTTTGAGGTTGCAGTGAGCTATGATGACGCCACTGTACTCTAGCCCAGGTAACAGAGTGAGACTCTGTCTTAAAAAAAAAAATCCAGTCTGCTGCCTCTTCCTGTAGAGTTCTGTAGTCCTCCTGCTTCCTGTGCCTAGGACTGAGGCAGAGGCAGCTGGAAGCCAATCTAGTAGTTTCCCAGATCCTATTTCTTCCAGGATCAGATGTGCTGAGAGGCTTCCAGCTGCTGCTGACCATCAACTCGAAAAGGTTCTAGCCACAGACCAGAAAGGGGACAGGAGGGGTTGGGGAGGGCTTGGCACGTAGCTGATACAGAAACTGTTTAATGTAAACGTGGACACACAGAGTCAGGAGTCAAGCCTGGGAGCCAACACAGTGCAGCTCATCTTAAAGGCAGGGAACTGCCAAAGACATCCACACTCACACCTGGCTGAGAGCCCTGTGCTCTTCTGGGGCTCCTTGCACCTCCAATCAGGTGGTTTCTAGCCTGTGAGGCCACCAAGTCCCCTACCTCTGCCAACAGCGAGCTGAGGATATACAAGGACTGGCCCCACAGATGCGGCAGCTTCCCCAGAGGAACTCTGTCCACCGTGTGAGGGTTCTTGTACTCTTCATCCACCTGGCAAAGAGAGAAAACCCCAAAGTCAGAATGTTACAGGATCAAAAGGCCAATGGTACCTTCTCCTGGGGAGTGCGTGGAGGATTTGCAAAATGGAGCTCATCCTGCAGATGGATTCCATGCAAACGCCAGGATCCAGAGGCCTGGAGGCCAAGTGCGCCTGGGGCTGCGCGGCTGTGAGCAGCAGAGGTGGGACTCGAATTCAGGCCCGCAGCAGTGCTCTCCCCACAAGCACCCTCAAGGCAACAGGCGCTGGAGGCCTGGCCTGCCTGCTGTGTGCACAGCTCTGGGCGACCAGCAGTGTCACTGCTTATGCTTACATTTGGCTGTATTCAACGCAAACAGCCTACAGCCCTGTCAGGTTTCTTCTATCCCATCCCCAGGGGTTTACAAACTGTGTGCCCGTGCAAGAAAATGACCAGAAGGTGGCACCATTCACTGAGGAAAACCGAGTGTATGACAAGCCTGTTAACCCTCCTTTCAGGGCCTCTAAAAGCAAAACCCAACAGGGGCTTCTGTCTCATCAAAACAAGCATCAGTGTCCTTTTTGGTGGGAGGTGCTGGCTGCACACCGTAAGTTAGTCTGCAACTTTCTCTCTTCTAAACTGCATGCTGGCCTTCGAGCTTTTACTCATCACAACATTGGTTGGGGGGAATGGCAGTGACCACTTTTTTCCTCTAGGAAATGTAAGTCAATCGAAGGAAATAGGAAACATTTATCCTTCACCAAGGGGGAAAAAAATCACATCATGAGTGAGTAATTTTCTGCTTGTGGATTAATCAGTGACATTATTAACATATTTAGTAAAATTTTATTTTTTTCAGTAGTAGTAAACATTAAGATAAATTTCAGTGTATAAACTGAACAGAATTAAATGTCATTAGTAATAAAAATAATGAAATAGGATAATAGTGTGAAAGGAGTTTTGAGTAGTAGGATTAGAGATTAATATTTACTTCTTTCTATAGAATCCTGGCTGTTTTATAATGCACAAGATTACTTTTACAATAATTAGATAGCACATTAAAACTATTTGAAATATAAGTAGTGTTAAGAAGGACCACGAAGATCTAGAATGAGAAATATTCCATGCAAAGAACAGAAAGCAGACAAGTTGTCTGCGTCATAAGACAGCCTGGCTCTGTCCTCCTTCCACCCACGGGCCAGCTCCTGCCTCCGCACAGAGGTATCCATTCTCCCTCTGCACTCGAGTCCTTCCTGACCACTTGCAGGTCCTCAAAGGCACCATGCTTTTGCCACTGCCACTCCTGTGGCTGCCCTCCAGCTCCTGGACCAGTTCCCTGGCCCCTACTGGCCTGCAAGCTCACAGAGACAGAGCTGGTGTTGTGACCACCTTTGTGTCCCAGTACCCAGCTGGTGCCTGACATGGAGTGGCTGCTCAATCCACATTTGCTGGGCATACTTTAATTAGTCTCCAGCTGTCTGTGGAGGGCCCGTGGATGGTGGTGCCCTGCACAAGCATGTCGGGCTGAGGAAATGAGTGAGGCTGACATCCAAGCTGCATGCTATCTCCTGGCCAGGGGCAGCAGCCACTCAGAGGACAAGGCCCCTTTTCTAACTTGCACACAGGTGCCATATGGGCTGGTGTGGCCCCATCTGTGGGAATCCTTCCCAGGTGTCTCTACAATGCTACTGATGTGACTGGTGAACCTTCCCAGCTGTCATCTGGAAGCAGCCAATACAAAATGCAGTCAACGTAAAATCATGTCCACAAACGGTGCCTAGCACACAAGCGTAAATGCACTGAATAACGGACATTGTAATGACAACTAGAAACCCAAAGATTAGTGTGGAGTTTAGAAGACAGAAAGTTGCAGAGTAATTTTTTACAGTGTGTAGCTAGTATTGTTCATCAGAAAAGAAAGTGTAGCTGGTAACACCTAGCATTTACTACTAGCAGAGCAACGTGCCCTTTAGTAGCATAGGGATGGTTATTCCCAGCCATGAAATAAGTAAAATACCCCTGAAGTCATTTATTTTCCCTTGCTCTGCTTCCAGGTTCCAAATTACCTACCATTACTAATTTTGTTTTGCCAGACGCCTCAGTACCAGAAAAGGAGAAACCTGAATAAGGGACATGAGCATGTAGTTGCTGGAAAGTAGCCCAGTCCCCAATGCCACCCCGTCCCCACCCACACACCCACATCACACCTAGTAAAATTAATATATTTATAGGAAATCTGGGCTTATGACACTTAGAAGACAGCCCTGGCGGGCTCCAGACCCCGATCTGTGTCGTGAGGGAAGACCAGTTCTTGTCTGAAGTCTGCCCTTAACTCTGAAACAAAATAGGTCCTGAGTGAACTTGGACAATGTGAGTAGTCTGCTCGCACTGGGATGAGGGGCCATCAACATTCCGGAGCTCAGGGCTAAGAGTCCAGGCTGGTGGGGCTCAGTGAGACCACCCAGAAGGAGACAGTCACCTCAAGGAGCTGCCCAGTGAATCTGCCAGTGAGCCAGCTGGTGGGATGGGCTGTTACAAACGCAAAAGAATGCAATGCTCCTAGCAATGGAAAATTCTATAATAGTTCTCACAGAAACTCAACTCCTTTTTTTGATTTTCTAGTTGGTTTAATGGTTGAATTATCTAACACATAATATTAATTGTTACTTTTAGATTAAATTAAGGCCCCAAGAGTACACAGTGGTATCTTTTTTGCCTTAAGAATCAAATATCAGCTTCTTTAAGACTATTTTCTATGCAAAAGTAAAGGGAAGTCTTCTATACCACTGCTTTGGGAAGGAAGCCCAGCGAGGGCATCCACTGTGTAGATATTTCCATGCCCTGGAAACGGGCCACCCATTAGGAGGCAAGGTGGGGCTGTGGGGAGGCCTTGAGCCTGGGGTCTGGGCCCAGGCTGGAGCCCAGTGCTGAGCTCTGTTAGGTTCCACAGCCTCAGAGCTGAGGCAAGGCCCCTGCCAGTCCTTTAGCCACGTGCACGTGGGCCTGATTCAACTGCAGAACACCTACAACGAAGCTGCAATGTGGCAGGCTTCTGCTGAGTTACAATCTCCCCTGGGCCCTGTTGATTTGGGGAAGACACGGTTGGTTCTCTGAAGGCCTTTTCATCCACAAATGCAATGAGGCTTCGAAGCATCAGAAGCATCTGAGAGACAAACAGCCTGGAATTGAGAATTCTTTTCTTCTAACCATGAGACTCTGATAGGGAAATCCTCCTGCCAGGATATACAGGTCCATCATGACCCAATTTAGGAAACTGGATAGAACAAAACTATCTTTAGGCATCTTGTTAGAAGCTTCTGACTACTCAAGCTCTAGCTCAGGTACGGCTTGAATCAAAAGTAGAAATTCTCAGCTATCCCTATACGTCTGTCTTCTTCATCTGTGGAAATGTGTAAGAAAATGGTGCACAACAGTGTTTTGTGCCCTTTAGAGTTCCTTCTGCCTGGGGTCAGCAGAGGGACAGGGTGTCCTCTGAAGGTCTTCAACTACCACCTTCCTAGGACACTCATGGTCAAGCATGTTCTACATGTTTTTCCAAAGCCATAATTCCTTGTCATAGATAGACAGAAACACTACCTAGGCCTTTAGAAATCACTTCTGGAGAAAAGTGTTCTTTAAGGCCCAGTGTGGTAGCTCAAGCCTGTCATCCCAGCACTCTTGGAGGCTGAGGCGGAAGGACTGCTTGAGGCCAGGGGTTCGAGACCAACCTGAGCTAGAGCGAGACCCTGTCTCTACAAAAAATAGAAAAATTATCTGGGCATGGTGGCGTGCACCTGTAGTCCCAGCTATTTGGGAGGCTGAGGCAGGAGGATCCCTTGAGCTCAGGAGTTGGAGGCTGCAGTAAGCTATGATCACAACACTGCACTCTAGCCTAGGCCACAAAGCGAGACTCTGTCTCAACAAAAAAAAGAAAAAGGAAAATGTTCTTTCGGACTAAAAGGGGGATGAAGAATATCAACGGGCTAAGCACCAACTCACTTTGTTCTAGAAAAGCTCTGCAAAGGGCTCCATGTCACCCAGTTACCTTGTCCGGTGGGATGGCATAGAGTTCTGGCACCAGGTGAATCCCGTTGTTGCCTCTGATTAATATTCCCTCTAGGGCCTCTCGGTACTCTTGGACCTGGAAAATAGCCCCATCACCCACCGTAAGAAAGAGGTCTAGTTGTGAATGCTTATCAGCAGCACATCACAGAAAAATTGCTCTGTTGGCAACAGATTAGAGGTTGGACACAGGACAAAGAAATGTATAAGTATCTCAGCTCCAGGAGTGCAGGAGGAACACCTGCTACCAGCAAATGTTAGGAGGCACTAAAAGCAATTGGTTGTTCCTCCCTTGAGTATGTCTATGCTCAGCCCTGCCTTGCCATGCTTCCAGGGAAAGGGACAGAACACCCCATCATGCAGTAGCTATTTCTTCCTTGGAATTCCTACAGCACTCATGTCCACACTGGGTATTACATGTCTTTCCTGTGCTGTCTTTAACTCATAATTTAAACATTTCACTCTTAACTTCTTATTTAAATTTTGTCTCACCAACCAGATTATAAATTTTTGGGTGGAGTGAGGAGCCAAATCTTAAACAATGTCTCCCATTTCTACCTATTGGTAGTTTTCCACTTAAAGGGCACTCATTGCTATTCAGCCACAAAAAAGAATGAAACCCTGTTATTTGCAGCAATATGGACAGCAATATGTCCAGCAAGATGGACAGAACTGGAAGACGTTGTTAAGTGAAATAAGCCAGGCACAGAAAGACAAATATTGCATGTTCTCACTCATACGTGGGAGCTAAACAAGTTGATCTGATGGGAAGTAGAGAGTGGAATGGTGGCTACCAGAGGCTGGGAGGGTAGGGGGTAGGGGTGGGGGAGATGAAGAGAGGTTGGTTAATGGATACAAACATACAGTTAGACAGAAGGAATAAGTTCTAATGTTTGCTAGCAGAGTAGGGTGACTATAGTTAACAATAATATCATATATTTCAAAATAGCTAGAAGATCTGAAATGTTCCCAACACAATGATACATGTTCAAAGTGATGAATATCCTATTCTAACTTGATCATTACTCATTATATGAACGTATCAAAATATCACATGTGCCCCATAAATAGGTCTAAATATTATGTACTAATAAAGAAAATTTTAAAGGCACTCATTCAAACATTCATTGCTCAAGAAATATTGGCTGTCACAAATCTGATGTGAGAAAAAGGAAATGTACATACTATGATTCATGGACACTGATTCCTGGGATGCACTGGCCAATATAATTAAAGCTGTTGAATCAAACATTTCCATTACATTAAAAAAAGTAGTAATAAAAAACAATATTAAAAGGGAAAAGAAGAAAGCAGGAAAACCCTTAACCAGCCACCCAGCTATTTAGCACATTTCTTCTTTGGAGAGCCCAGTCAAGTGCCTTCCAGACCTCATTTTCTTTTCGTTTTAAAGGTATGGATGGCAAAGCATGACCACAAGTGTATCATGTTTTAAATGTCACTGGCAACAAGTGAGAGAGACAGCACTGGTATAGGGCAGTAGATTCTGAGAGGCTTAAAAACAAGATGCTAAGCACAGTTACTTTCCTCTCTTCAGTCTCCCCCGCCCCACCATTGTTAAGCCTGTTCACAATTGAAATTCAAAGTCAATCCTTTTGAGATCTTTCAATTCTGGGATAAAAAGAAAACCCAGGATAATCAGTAAACCTTAAGACTATGAATCAACAATGGGGGAACATTGACATTTCAAGCTTACTGCCAGTTCTGAAGCCCCTGGGCATTCCTGAGCAGGGGAGCTTTGAAAAGCTAAAATGAATCTTTGATTGCTCATCAGCTCCTCCACCAAACATGTGATAGAACCAGCGGAAAAGATGGCAAAGCATCTGAGTGTCAGTCATTCACATAAGCTTCGCAAGAGCAGGGCAAGGGCGTGTCGGTTCTGCTCCACAAGGTATGCTCAGCCCAGGGTAGAAGCTAAAGCAAAGTAGAAAGTAGAAGTAGAAAACAAAGTAGAAGCTAAGGCAATTTGTCTTGAACAAATGAGTGTTACATTAACAAATATTTACTGAGCACTTGCTATCTACTAGGCACAGGAAATATATCTGTGAACTGGATAGAGATGCCTCTACCAGGTCCTTTGACATGTAAGTAGGAGATGAAATACAGTGTAACCCATGCTGTGATAGGTGCTGTGGGGCATAGGGGTACCTGACCTAGCTTTTAGGGTCAGAGAGGCTTTCTGAAAGAAGAGACACTTCCAATGAACCAAGTGAAGGAGGGAGGGGCACTGGGGAAGAAAACAATGTTTTAGGCCTTTGAGATGAGAGCAGAGAGACCATGGCCTGTTCAAAGGACCAAAAGGAGTTTAGTGTGCTTGGATCACAGAACTCAAGAAAGGAAATAAGTAGTAAGCAATTAGGCTAAAGTGGTGAAAACACGGACCAGATGCTATGGAACCCCATAAAACACATGAAGCACTTGCACTTCATCCCAAAAGAAATCCGAAAGCCACTGCAGTAGCATAATCTAATTTGCCTTTTAATAAGATCACTCTGGCATGAGTGTGGAGAATGGAAATAGCAGGGAGCCAAGCTGGAGGTTGGGAGACCAATTAGGAGGCTGTTGCATTAAAAAAGATGTTATCTGAGAGCACATTAAACTAGAGCTAAAGACAGCAAAACCACTGGCTGATCTGGAAAGAACAACAGCAACAACAAAACCTGTGACAGACTGTTCTCTGGTGGTCCTCAGTGGCCCATGCCTCCTCGTACTTATGCCCTTGTCTAGGCCCCTCCCCCTTGAATATGGGATGTCACTTTAACTAATAGAATGTGGTGAAAGTAACACTTTGTTAGTTTCTAGCCTAAGTCTTAAAAAAGCTCAGAAGCTTTTGCTTTAGCAGAAGAGGGAGGTGGGAGGAAGACCCACATAAAAAAATCTAACAGCCCAGAGACTACAATACTGTGAGTAGCCCAAACTTGCCACATGGAAGAGAGCCATGGCCCCAGCCAATAGCACAGCTGAGCTCCCTGCATCAGCTGACAGCCAGCATCAACCAGTGAGTTGAGGCCATCTTGACAGGCGGGGATACTCACCACTATACTAACGAGGAACGAGCTAAGGCCATCTTGGAATTAGATCCTCCATCCCTATGGAACTGTCCCAGCTGACACCAGGTGAGGCAGAGACAACCTGTCCCTGCTGGGCCCTGCCCAAATTGCAGAATCAGGAGCAAATAAATAAAATAGCTATTGCTTTAATTCACTGAGTTTTGGGAAAGTTTGTTAAGTGGCAACAGATAACCAAGACGGTGACCTAAATTCTTGCATAATCCTACATTTTAATAATCATCAGTACACGAATAGGATTAAAATGCTTATTACCAACATAATGCCCAGCATTTTCTCACCTGAACAGCATCACCATTGAAGACTCCATCTATTATAAAATATGTCCAGAACACAGGCCACTCACATTCAATGTTTTCAAAGAGCTTGAGTTCAGCAGGGTCATAATGCAATCGGTTTGGGTCCTGGAATCAAACAAGTCAAACATTTAAAGGGTGATTTTACATTATGTACAGAATACCATTGTGCCTCCCTGGGTTTCCCTTGCTCGTCTGGCTTAATGCAGCATTGAGGTTGGTATGACTAGGATTTTGCTATAATGGGGAGATGCTATTTTTGGCAGTTTTCCATGGTAAAATTTCAGAAAGTAAATCAGAAATATACACATGACTCCTTGATAGTTTATTACACTATAGCTTCCTATATTTTTAACAAATAAACAGCAATTTGCCTATCACAGTGCTTAGTAGACGATCTGTTTTATTTATATCATCATATTAGTCAGTGTGGCAAAGAAAGCCAAGGATGAAGCCACGGTCCTTACAAAAAATGTGTGGGCCACAGAACTGTTTGTCCTTATCTATAAGCTGGTTTTAAACTAACAGCTCACCGTCTTCCTGAGGGTCTTACTATTCTATTGCCTGACTCCAGGCTTGCTGACTCCAAAATTAATACTTCTCTTTCCAGTATTCCAACATATAATTATAATCAATAGAGGGAGAACAACACAGTGGCAACTTAGATATGAAGCAGTTAAGGAACCATAAGAAACAGTATTTAAATACAACCTCTCTTGGGGTTTTATAACCATCTCGAAGAAAGCGACAGCATCCATAACGCCCCTAATAAGATAAAGAAAGAAAGGATATTTGATGAGATCAGAGGAATTTCTTTGCCTTTCTATGTTAATTCATGTCAGCCCTTCACCTCTTTCCCATGAAAGCTGTTAGTAGTGAATTTTGTACCAAGTGCTCTTTGCTTATCAGTATAGTTATTTTTTCAGTAATAAGCAAAGTAAATTAAGGTTTGATCAGTACTTGGAAGGGAATGCCAAAACATTCCACTGGAGTAACAGGGCTGCAAAAGTAATTACTAAGAGTTCAGTGAATGACCATTCTTCCATTCTGATTTAATGTATCACACGAAGACGCAAAGGGACCCTCACTATTTGGAGAAGCCACTGGGGCAGATACTTGGATTGGTTTATTCCTACTTGAAAGATTTGGGAAGCTAAAAGGACATTCCCCAGACTACTAGCAGTTAGTCAGATGTGCCCCTGAGAGGCTTAGCAGGGAGCTAGGAAGGGACTTCCTGTGCTTAGGACTGTTGCTGCTAGTTTTCCTGCTGCAGGCTCCGGTGTTCCTCTCCAGCTTCCTAGGTGCCAAGAAAGGAGGGCAGGGGTAGAACTCTCTTACTCTGACCCCCTAATCCTTGGATTGCAGCTTTGGGTGTCCATTCTCCAATTTCTTATGTGTGTGAGGGCTGCTGCAGCAGACGCTGCTTTAGCATGGGCGTGGAGCCAACCCTGGCCCTGGCGGCCAGCTCCACTCTGTTCTGGGGGTCCTCCTGGGAGACTCAGCCTAGAACCTGCTCTTCTCCTAAACGCTTCATTTCCTACACTAACTCCCATCCCACTTTGACTACCTGAAGCGGTTCCTTTTTCTCCACTGAGCCCTGACTGATACAGCTGCCTTCTTTTGGGAATATAATTGGAGACATAGGGACCCCAAGGACAAAAACATTTTCCACTAGATCTAAGTAGGACAATTAACATGCAGATTTCAGCTTAGGAAACTTATATTCTTTGATAATTCTACTGGTAACTGCTGTTGGCTGGAGTACTTAATAACATTCTCAGTTTAGTGCACTGTGTCATAGTTACTGCATTTCACTTCAGAACGGGGATTTGTTAAACTTACTGTAACTTTAGGATCACCACATCCCCTGAAATTGTGTGTGAAGTTTGAGGATGTTGTAACATATGCATTTTTTTCTGGCAGTGACTCTATAGCTTTTGAGAGATTCTTTTTTTTTTTGAGACAGAGTCTCCCTTTGTTGCCCAGGCTAGAGTGAGTGCCATGGCGTCAGCCTAGCTCACAGCAACCTCAATCTCCTGGGCTCAAGTGATCCTACTGCCTCAGCCTCCCGAGTAGCTGGGACTACAGGCATGTGCCACCATGCCCGGCTAATTTTTTCTATATGTGTTAGTTGGCCAATTAATTTCTTTCTATTTATAGTAGAGATGGGTCTCGCTCTTGCTCAGGCTGGTGTTTTTGAACTCCTGACCTCGAGCAATCCACCCGTCTCGGCCTCCCAGAGTGCTAGGATTACAGGCATGAGCCACCGCGCCTGGCCTTGAGAGATTCTTAAAGGAGTCTGTCTGTGACCTCTAAAGGGTTAAGAAGCTCTACTTAGAATGATGGCAGTGGTATGAATTCAAAGGTGCCTGCTTGAGTGCAAGTTCTGCTACTTAGAAAGAGAACCAAGCTGCTTAATCACTGAGACTTTGTTTTCAGCTGTAAACTGAGCTTTGATACTTTATGAGTCCACTTAGCCAAAGCAAGCCAATAACCTCATGGAGAACTGAGGCCTGAGTGAGCTGCTTACATGAAAGTAGCACTTAACACAGGGCAGAAGGGCACCAGTGTGACCAATGCTTACCTGGAGCTTGGAAATAATTTCATTTTTGGTCACATTCACCAGGTTTACATCTTCCACTGCAAAGGCTGGGAAGGAAATAATGGAAAGAAGTCCAGCATCAATCTCCTTGGATGTCGATGCTCTTGGCAGCATGGAGAACAGAATAGACTGAATGAAAAACAAAGAAATGGTTTGGAAAAGCACTAAGAGTTAGATGGAGTATCTAAAGACTATGACCTTAAGCCCAAGGGAATTTTCAAATGCGGTGCTCAATTTTGAGTTTTGTCCTACCAGCATGGCCCCCGCTGGCCATCTTGCCCACCCAGCCAATGATTCCTGCTCTTTGGGGAGGAGCAGGAGCTGGAGACAGCATGGGGCTGCCTGGAGCCTGTGTTGGGAACTCCTTATTGCCTGTCCTTCCAAAGCATGGAAGGACTTCTGTTGACTTTGTGAGACTTTTAGGACACGCAGGAACTATAGGGATACCTGTGTCAGCAGGCTAAGGCATCCTGGCTATGAAGACAGAGACCAGAAAAGAACACACATATGGCACCAGCATGGAGAAATGTCTGGCTTCTGTGGAATGTGACCAGTTGGATTGGGTGACTCAGAAACCATTTAAAGAAGGAGTCAAATCCAGAAGCTCTCATGAATGCTCAGGCTGAATGGTAACCGACAGAATAAGTTTAGTCTTAGAATCTTTCTAGGGTTAATTATAGGCACCATAACATGGCTTCAATTATCAGGTAATTGAAACTTGGAACGAAGTTGAAATTATAAGGAAAAGTTTGGAAAGGGTCTAACATGTACAGACATGAGGCTAGACCTTTGCAAACATAAGCTCATTAAATCTTCCATATGAGGAAGGACTTAGGGTATTATGTCCAATTCATACCTGTGGACTCTGACACTCTGAAACTCTCAGACACAGAGACTTGTGCCTAAGGGCATGCAGCTAGTAAGTGACAGAGCTAGGATTCTAACCCAAGCCCAGCTGGCTGCAAAGCTCATGCATTTCCACTAGACTATTCATCTACTAAGATGCACACCAGCTTGACTCTAGTACCCCAAGAAAGATCAGACTCCCCCTTAAGAACTACCTAATGGGGGAAAATGGAGTGAGCTGGAAGATGAGGTTGAGATGGAGGAACCTTTTGGCTTCAGAATAAAGTTTTATTTCCAAGAGCCAACTGACCCTGGGCCCTGTTCTTTAGTCACTCTTCCCTAGGCTTTCTCTGCCTGGAAACACTAACTCCCACCAGGAACTCTCCATTCACAAGTTTTTATGTATCTGACCCACTTTAGCCCTGGTATGGTACCTGGCACACAGTGGGCCCTCACTAAATAAGAGGTTGCTGATTGTCTAGCAATTGATGACTTTTTGTCTGCTTAATGGAGTCCCTTAATGTGTATTAAATCACTCCTTTCTCTGACCTGTTTTTCATGGAAGTTCTACTAATTTCTCATCTCTCTCATCTCTTCTCCACTACCCATCCCATCCATCCTCAACCTCTCCTCCCCCCATCAAGTGCACTAGTGCTTGCTAGTCATTCACTTTGGGGGAACCATGACATAAACCTGAGACAAAACCACCTATGTGCTCAAAAAACATAAAACAGAGTTTGCCTCCATCAAAACAAGGCTGTTATTTAATTGCTGACTCCATATACACAGCATTGTGGTGTCTTCCATTTGCATGGTACTTTCTGGCTTAAAAAGTGCTTGGACAAACTGTCTAAGTTGATTTGCTTTGATCCTTACAACCACCTTGTGTGGCAGCAGGAAAAAATCCTAGGATGCCCGTTTTATGGATGAAGAAAGAGAAGCTCAAAGAAGCCAAGTACTACCCAGCTAGAAAGGTGAGGAATCTGAACCGGGGCTCATGTCTTCCACTCCAAGACTCTCTCTCCTTCCCTAGTCTCAATGCAAGAAGCTAAGCTGTTACCTGGCAGTGCTCAACTTCATCAGGCAGGACATGGATCACTGACTTGCGTCCTCCTTGGGCACCAAAAAGATCTAGTTCATCAATTGCCTCAAGAGCTGCCTGCAAACACAGGTATGAATTATTTTTCTTTCTAATAAACATACAGCCCAATATCTGGCACTCCTTTTTTATTAGGCAATCTAGCATACACAATTTCCCTAAAGGCCATGAAGCACATCTTTAAAATCCAGCTAAAGAGCCCTATCCTTATTGTTCTGTCCTTATTTTCAGTGGATCGGAGCTTTCCTATATATTGCTGCTCATTGCAGAAACAAGAAAAAGAAAACAGAAAGACATTTCCCAAAATGAAGTTAGTATTCTACCAAAAAATGAAATAGTAACACGTTCATAGCATTATAAGTGTGTGTGTATGGCACTAAATTCATGATCAGTTTTCCTCTCACCCATTTTAGCAGTTAACTTTGAACATCAACATATCTGACATTTCAGAAAGTTAATTCTTTTAGTAATAAGTACATTTATCTTAACAGAGCATATTTATTGTTGCTTTAAAAATTCTAGCACTGGGGCCTTTATTCTGTCCAAAAAATACACTTCAGTCTTGAGAAGGAAGGAGGAAAGGAGGCCGGCTAAATGCCTATGGCAAGAGATGCCAAACCCGTGGCCTGCAGATTGAATCTGCCCCACGGGTGTGTTTAGTTGGGCTTGAAGAGTATTTCTGAAATGAGTCTGAATTGGAATACCTTTAGGGAAATTTCCTAGAGTGCCCAATACTCACCCTCTGATATCTTGCTATCTGGCCAACTTCACTCATTATCACTTGCTTGACCTTATAGACTTTTGAACTTGTGAGCCCAACATCAAGAGTGGTCATATACTTCAGCCCTCTCTATGCCCCAGAAAAGAAGACTGGACACTATACATGCAGCTTCTTAAACAACAGCAAGAGCTTAGACCCATGGGTGATAACAATGGCTAACAAGAACAGAACACTCTGAGTTTTTGCCACATACAGACTTCAGTGCAGGAAACCTACTTTCTTTACCCATAATTTCAGTTGGCAGAGGCACATGTGCCACTTGAACTTCACATACTTGCTGTTGACTTTTGAAAAATGTGCTAATCAGATTAAATCCAAACTCCTCACGAACAGAACCAAATCAAAGCAGCAAAAACACAGAAGAATCTAGAACAAACAGGACGACTATCACCTTAGCCATTCCCACCGAGCTTGCGTTCAATTCTGGAATGCCCTGATTTGTTTTATCGCCACGCTCCCACATTCCATAGTCCTGGGGGAGAAAAAGATAGTAATCAGAAGTGGAGAAAGAGGTATATGAGAAGTGCTATGGGAAAATGTTTCCTTTATGTTACCGCAGGCATAATGAAACGTGATTATCTCTTCTCTAAGGCTTTACATACTCATGCTGTGTTCTTTCTCGATTTCAGTTCATGTGATCTTTGTGCAGAATTTAAGAAGAAAATACTCAAGTGGAACAAAAGTGCATGCAAAAAATGCTCTCAAATTTCTTTTTCTAAAAGGTATTAATTTGTAAGAAACTCTTGATTTATGGAGAACAAAATATTTTACTTATCTTAAAATCAAATAAAATGCTGCCCCTCTATTTAGTCAGTGCCTTTGACCTTATATTAAATTGTTAGATGGAATAAAGAAATGTTAACACATGGCTCATATCTACTTGAAGCCAACAAAGCCATCTAAAATAATTTAATACCTATTTTTAGCATTACCTCATGGGGAAAAATATGCTTAGCAAGTAACTGGAGCCAAAGTCAAAATTGAGGCACAGAACACTGAACTTATACGGTATTTGAAAACTGATTAATATGAACTGGCTCAGAACGCTGTCATGCAGAGGACTTGATATATGTGTACCTAACTTTTATAATTTGTATTTTCACTCCAACACCCAAGTATTAGATGCTAGTTTGAAATAATGCTACATGTACTAGTGAAAGCTTACAACCTAACAAAAACAGTACCAACGTTTATCTCCAAAGATGAACATATTCAAGATGTGAAAATTGAGACTTAGACATCCTAAAGCAACTTTAGATTCTTTCCTGCCCAGTGAGCCTTGCAGCTGAGCCTAGGATTCCTTCCTTCCGTAGTCCCCATGTCTGGGCCTTCCTGCAATCCAGCCCATCTTACTCCAACCCCAGTGCCAAGTGACTCATTCTCAAAAACTGCTTTGATCACTTCACTTCCTGCTTCAGAGTCTAAAACGACAAAAGGTTTATTCCCCAGTGGGTCACATTCACATCTCTCTCGCCAGATGGCCATACCCTCTGTGATCTAGCCTCCCCTCTGTGCGCCCACAAGCTGCCTTTATTTTCTACTCTTCTCCAATGTCAACTTCCACTTAAGTCTACTTCTGTACTCTGCACCCCTTTTCCCCAGGTGTCCCCCAGGCACAAACTCAGAACTGTTCCTGCCTCTGGGACTGCTCAACCTATTCCCCACCCCAAATGCCCTTCTGCTTATCTACACCCTGCCAAGCCTTCAAGAGACAACTAAAGGCCCACTCTTTTCACAAAGACTTCTCAAGTTTCTTTAGACCAGGGTTTGTCAACTCCGGCACTAAGTGACATTTCAAGCCAGATAATTCTGTGTCGCAGGTGGCTGTCCTGTACCCTGTAGCGTGGTTAGCAGCATCCCTGGCCTTGGCCCACTAGATGCCAGTAGCACCTACCCCAGATGTGACAACCAAAAATGTCTCCAGATGGTGCCAAATGTCAAGGGCAAGATTGCCCCTGGTTGAGAATCACTGCTTTAGACCTGGGGTCAGTGAAACATAGCCCTTGGACCAAATCTAGCTTGCCACCTATTTTTGTAAAGTCTATATGGCATACAGCCATGCTCATTTGTTTACATGTTGTCTACGGCTGCTTCTATGTTACCAAGGCGAAGCTGAGGAGCTGCAACAGAGTCCAAAGGGCCCAAAAAGCTGAAAATATTTCTCTCTGGCCCTTTATAGAAAAAGTTAGCTGACCTTCCTTCAGACCATAGTGGCTTTTGTTTTTTAATTGTTTTATAACTAACCTCTACCCTTTCCTTACTGCCTCAAAAAGCGAGCTTTGCATACTTTAGTTTAGTTGTTGTGCAGCAACGTACCGGCCTTTGCCTTCCAAACCAGACAGAAGTCCGGAGGGAGTGGGGTTTATACACATTTATACCCACACAGATCTGGCCCAGGTCTGGGATCTGCCTGGCTCGGGCCCCTCCACCTGTGGGCTGGTAGGGGTGATCCTCCCTGCACCCCAGCTCCCATCAAGGAGCCAATGCTGCTATTTTATCAGCCCCAACTCAGGGGAGCCCATACGCATCCCACAGGACATTTTAGGGTCTTATTTAAAACAAACACAGTGGATTCAGATAGAGCATGCAGTATATTCCAAAAACATAAAACCCTCAACTGTATCCCAGGGCAAAACTGTGCACTTTGCATGTAGAGGTGACACAATCTTATGGCTCTAGTCTTGTTAACCTTCTGGTCAGCCCCAAAGAGCCTGGCCCTCAAGGAACTGTATGATTTTTATTCTTTTCAATGACTGGCATGCCTGTGAAGGCTACTAGGGTTGATACTTACAGCAACTTTATACGCAGCTTCTATGTAAAAGACAAGATTCTGTATGAAGGCCACCTCATCGAGGGTGAAGATAATATGCAAGCCTAGTAAAGAAAAACAATGAGGTTATTAATCATGTTGTGAAGAGAGAGCTGCCAATTATAAATTCTAAATATCACATAGGAAATAGGCACTTTTACCCTTATTTTCATTTTTCTTTATAGGGCATCAAAAATTAAGTTTGAAGTCAGTCATAACAGTTAATGTCTAATCTCAGAAAAAGGAAGGAAGGAGGTAGGAAGGAGGGAAGGAGGGGTGGGTGGATGGGCTGCACTTTTCTGTGTGCCTATGAGTAGAAAGGGTTGAAAGAGAAGGTATGGGGCCTCTGGTACATGTTGTATTGGTGTAGAGAAAGTTCCAACAAAGCAAGGATTTTAGCCCAAAAGAACCAGAGACACTGTTCCTATCTTCGAGTGAGCCCAAGGGAAGAGTGAGTACTTTTCACCAGAGGCATATAGGGAAACTAGAGCTCCCAACTTCAGGAGCTGACCCTCCACCCCCTGGAAAGCCCAGCTCCCAGGACTTGCCCAGGTGGTTGCATCAACTCACTGAGGCAGGCAAGTCCAAGAAAGCTAATTTTTTGCTTGGGCTCTTGAAATTATAATCAGTTATGGCAAATATATGTATTTTAAAAATATGAATTATTGACACTGGTATGAATATATGACATGCACTCTTACATCGATGAGAGAAGTTTTAGTAAGCTAGATTAGAAGTTTAACTAAAACAAAGTTTAACTGGACACTGAAAACAATTTGGCAGTATGTATGAGTAACCTTTGAATGACATCTAACTACATCAGAAGGAGGTAAATACAAATGGGGTCAAAGTTGGTATTGCAACGCTAGTTATAACAGCAAAAAAAAAAAAGAATAAAGGAATAATTAAATTAATTATGATATATCTAATGATAAAGTCACAAAAAGTGTTTTTGAAGAACTTGTAAGATCATTGGGAAAATGCTTAAGTTATAATGCAATATCATAAAAAGGCTATGTTTATGTGTACATGAGTCCTTAAATATGTAAAAAAAATATATAGAAAAATAGACTTGGAGGGGACACATCCAAATGAAAATTGGCAGTGGAATTTTTTCCTTGTATTTTGGTATGTTTTCAAAAATACCTACAGTGATTTCATATTAACTTTCATAACCCTGAAGTCTTTTTATAAATGTGTAATTTATTCACTAAGCCATAATGATATTACTTACTGATTTCTGGGATTTTTAGAGTTTCATGCTTGCAGTCTGAAATAAATGGGTGGCCTCAGGCAGGTCAGTTGATTGTACTGGTGGGTGATGAGGACTCTGAGACACAGTTGCTAAGTGCCCTAACCCAGGGGAGCATCCATAGCAGATGCCATCATGGGAGAGAATGACCGCTTGGTGTGCACAGATGGCCACAGCCTGGAGCTCAGGAGACCTGGCGTCCAGGCTACCATAGAAGCCAGCAGCTCTGGCTTCAACAGGAATGAGGCAGGCCATCTGTGGGTTGTGGGCTTACTCACAGCACAGGCACTGCAGGCTGGTCGGCCTGCTCTGGGCATGCTGCTGAGCGGTGGAAATGATGTTGTTTGAATGTACTTTGGATAAACGAGGGTGTATCTAGAAGAGGGTGACTAGGGTAGTGAGAGGGAGAGCTGAAGGGCTGCTAATCCCTGAGGAGAAACATCTAAGAGCAGATGTGAGACTGCCTGCAGATAGCTGAATTGTCAAAGTTGGACCTGACCTAGGTTGCTCCAGGAACTAGGTGAGAGTGACAGTAGGAAGCTGTGGACTTAACAGAAAGAAGCTAACAGCCAGCTCAACAGCCCTTGTCCTACAAGGGCCCAGGTGGAGGCTTACTGTCCTGTCTGTAGGTCACAGACAGGGAGGGTAGCTATACTCCTTGTCCTATCAAAGAGGCAAATGTGTATAATATCATAGAGAAGCAAGCCTTTCCTTTGCATAAACTGCTCACTTAAAATACTGATTGCTATGGCTTGAATGTGTTCCCTCCAAAATTCAGGTGTTGCCAATATGATGGTATTAAGAGGTGGAGCCTTAAGAAGCTATTAGGCCATGACAGCTCCTCCCCTCATGAGTAGGATTAAGGCCCTTATATGAGAGGCTTCACAGAGCATTTGGCTCTCTTGCCTTTCTGTCTTCTGCCATGTGAGGACACAATGTTCCTCCCCTCTGGAGGATGCGACACTCACCAGACAACCGAACCTGTTCACACATTTATCTTGGATGTCCCAGCCTCCAGAACTATGAGAAAATACATTTCTGTTTTTTATAAATTGCCCAGTCTCAGGTATTTTCTTATAGCAGCACAAATGGACTAAGACAATGGTTGGTGCCCGCCCTCCTCCCCACCCTTTTCTGGATTATCACTCCCTCTACAATGGGCTCAAACAGCCCTGGCTCACCGGAGGCAGTCATCTGGGCCAGGAAGAGAAGGAAGAGAGAGGTGGCATCCACCTGGAGGTGGCCCCACTGGTCGTCGCCCACCACGGTGCTGCAGGTGGCGCTGTTGTACTTGGCATGCAGGCTGTCCTTGGTACTCTGAGTGTACTTGAACTTCTCCACTTTGTCCACCTGAGGGGGAAGGCGAGCCAGCTTCACATAGTTATGGGGGTTCATGGGTGCCAGAGGTCACACCCAGGGCCAATCACCTGGATCTAGACGTCTTATGTGCTACTTCGGGAGCCAGAGGGACCGAAGACAGCTGCTACTGAGCACCACACAGGGGGGTTTGCTGGGGATTCTTCTGGCCCATCCCTGGAAATGTCCCAGCCTGGGATTTTAACAAGCTCTGCAGGGGTGAGCGTTCATGCCAAAGGGTGTCCTTGTCTGCATATCCCCAGCTGTGACACATGGTAGGTACTCAAGGAGAAATATAAGGAAGAGGGAGAAAGAAGAGGGAGGAGGGAGGCAAAAGGCCTGTTTAAATTTCAACTTTTCATTTTTAATGTTGAAAGGAAAAGAGCAACTATGTCTTTGAAGGTGCTGACTGAAGGTGGGGAGTGTATTGTATTTGTCTTGGATTTGTGCAGATCCTAGTATAATGTTCTGTATACAGTACGTGCTCAATGAATTGTATTCTTTCCCCCTCACTGAAAATACCAGTAAATGGTAATGTCAAGTTTTAAAAACTCAAGCATTTCATCTCAAATGAAAATATACCCTTTGATAAATTTGACAGAATAAGCAATAGTATGTGGCTTTCTAAAAAAAAAAAAAAAATGCTTTCATCCCCACTTAAAAAAAAGGCACGTTCTCCTTTTACACATGTAACTCTTCAAAAGAGATTCTCAGAAAGTGTCCTTTCACACTGTGGATCTATACTATAATACAATTCTTGAAGATAATTTTTTAAAAAGTAAAGAGCAAAATATTTTCAATTTCTCCTCCTCTTGAGAAGAAAAGTTAAAAATGCGTTAAGCATGTTAATTGTCACAATTGAAATGACAGGAAATGCCCACTCAGATGCTCTGCAAACCCACACTTGTGCTCTGCCTACCTGTCTCATCATACACTGCAGAAGACCTCGCATCAGCTTCACCACGTTCTGTGGAAAGAGAATGGAATCAGAAACAAGGCAGGTCCCAAGCACACACGAGCGTTCCGGCTGTGCATAATTACCTCCGCTTCTCTGCTCCACAACAAAGGAAGAAAAGTCTTGACAAAGTGATATCTCAAATAAAGGGGCTGGATCCGATGGCATCTCCCAGCTCTGGAATTCAGTGGTTCCTTGCTGACATTTTAGCAACACAATTTTTATAAGCCTACTACTCTAGCGCTTTACATCACTTTTCTTGGTAATTTATTTTTGTTACACGAAGGATGAATTAAGTCTGCCACGCCTGCCCAAAAGTAATGATGTTTTGCCAAAACAGACATTTGTGACAACATTACTGGATGATTGAGTAAAGTTCTTACAAAACACAAGTGGCCGCCAAGGTTTCTTAATAATGTGATGTATTGCAGCCAATTACTATTATTATCATCATTATGAATAACAACAATGCTACACGAATCAATTAGACACTATGTCCAGGCATTGTACAAAACACTTGACCTGGATTATCTCTAATTCTTGCACCAGCCTTATGAAGGGGGTTGCATTATTACCCCACTTTCTAGAAGAGGAACCTGAGGCTGAGCAAGATGAAGTAACATTGCTAAAGTCTCCCAGTTGGCAAGGGGCGCAGCAAGGACAGAGCCAGGCAGTCAGATGCCAGAGTTCGAGCTCTTAACCAATACGTTATGTTGCCTGCCACTTCCTCCACGAGTCAGGCCCATTTAAAGACTGGTCTTACACTCGGTCCTGTTAAAAACACTATAAAACTATTAATACTTCACAAGTGGCTGGAGAATGGGATTTTGTAGGTCAAAGTAGTCTGGCTGAAAAAGTTCCCACCCAGAGGCACAAACATCTCTCTCACAGAATGTACGTGGTTTGCAGGGGATGACAAAGTGAAGGGCCCTGAAAATTTATCACCAGTGAAAAGTCTGGAAGGGATGGTCCTAAATCTTAAGATTCTAGGACATAATCTCACTTTATGTCATAAACTCTGCTGGGGCAGAAAATGTTCCCTCATAATTATAAGGCAAAGTTAACGTTGTTATAATTAACATTTCCTACACTGTACAGCAAAAACATTTGTCAATTAACTGCCCCTCAAATAAAGTTATTTTCTATTAGGAAGTAATACAGTGGTTCCCAAGTGGGGGTGATACTACCATTCACCAGGGATGGAGGCATTTTATTGTCACAATGATGCAGGTGGGGGCTGCAGGCTTTTAGTGAGTAGGGGTCAGGGACCCTAAATGTCCTACAGTGCATGGGGCAGTCTCACACAACGAAGGACTGAAATGCTCAAGCCCGAAATGCAATAGCGTCCTTGTTGAGGATCACTGGAAGGTCCCCATGTTATTTTCCATTAATCAAGTTATTAACCACACACACTGTATAGTAAAAGGCATTAGGAAACAATGTGGCCTGTTCATGTCTCATTATGGTTAGTCAAGGGGTGGCAAAGCTAGTCAACTTAACCCAAACCAGGTCCAGGTAGGAGCGTGTGTGTGTGTGTGGGGGGGGAGTATGGTGTGTGAATGGGCACTGCTTTACTTTGATTTTGTCTCAAAGAAGATGGGAGATTTGTAGGACACTGATGTCAAATTATACTATTACATGAATGATTCACTTACATAACAGTCATCCAACTTCTTGGAAGAGCATTCGATGCTTGCTGTATGCAATTTTTAAAACCATACCTACTTGCCTTCCCCGCCAAGTCTGGGTGATTTCTTCATCTCGCACTCAGCATGTCTTGTCACATCCAAACCCTACCTCTACCGCCAAGCTTCTTTCTTAGCCTCATCATGGCCGACAAGCTTCCCTTGCACTGCCTGGCACTCAGGCCCACTTGGGTTGCCACAGACAAGCACCGACTGGGCTCTAAGAACCCTTCCTGGGCTCAACAACCCACTGAGTGAGAGCCATTAAGGAATGTCTGAATCACAGATAGATCCCAAGGTGTCCCACTTCAAGAGAATTATACTTTTATATTTCAATGTTCCCTACTTCAATACTATCACTCAAAACACTCAGAAAACACCTCCTGTGCTCAGGGGCAGATTATTCTCTTACAAACTCAATGATGACATATCTTTGCTTTGGTACGTGTCTTGGTTTTTGATTGTGGAAAACAATAAAAGGACTTCATTGTGCTGTATGGTGAGTAACATGGGCATGAAAACTGAACAGCACCAGTTTGGCTCAAAATTTAAGAGTGACCATAAATTAATAAGACTTCTTTCCTGGAATGGCTCAAACTAGAAAGGTATTTTTAAGGCAAGTTTCAAAAATATTTTAAGCAGTGGCAATGATGTTTGGATAAGTATTTTGTCAATGTGACTACTCTGAAGAGTACACACTTTGGAATGTGTAGCTCTGGTGAGCTTACTTTTAAAAACCAACCATATTAGTTTATAATGATGCCTTGTATATAAATATGTATAAAATGGACAGAGCACATGTGAGAGAAATATAGTTATTAATAGTTAGACAAATCGACACTTTGAGGTTAGAAATTTGGATACTTTCATTTCTTATTTGGTGTGATTTTTAATGTTTTATGGAGAGAAAAATTTAAAACAGAAAGACAAATGTGAAGTTGAGACCATCTAAGTGCCTCCCCAAAATACTCTACAGCAGAAATGGAAGAAGAGGTCTGCACCCTGACTGTTCTGCACACATGGTTACTTCCTCGTGGGTTCTTCAGTTCAAGGAAAAGGGGCCAAGCAGCTGAGACACAGCTGTCAGTCACCATTACCTGCTCTAGCTCGTAGGCCTTGGCCTTGTCTTCGTCGCGATCGGCATTCTTACGGTAGGCCATGCCAAGGCCCCACACAGCCAGGATGCTGTAGATGTTGTCCCGCACCCAGGCATCCTTCTGCTCGTGGCTGGCTGACAGCAGCCCCGTGACAGGATTCTAATAGAGAAGAGACACAAAATGGCTTAGCACTACATTTCATGCAGTTCCAAGGCACAGATGCTCGCCCTAAAGGGTCAAACAAGGACATGGGACAAGGAAAGGACAGACCAGCATTCCAGTTGTCATACTGCCAGGAACTCAGGCGAGAAGTCACATCACTTCTCTGTGCCTCAGTTTCCTCACCTGTATAACAAGGACATGGGACTAAAACATCTCTAAGGAACCTTCTAATCCATGTTCTTCTTTCACATTCAGACCATACCATACTGTTGTAAATGACAAAGCAGAAGAAACATCAAACAGAAAAAGTCTGCAAGGCTTTCGCGCATACGTGCCTTGCTGGCTTTAGGTCTTCTTCAGCCTTTATGTGTCCACATCAGTTGGTAAAGCATTGAACCTGGGAGCAAGAAACCCGAACGCAGGGCCATGCTCCACTCTCTAGATCTGTGTGCCCAGGGAAGCCACTTTCCTGATCTAGGTAATCCAGATACTTCATGTGCCTGAACAGAGGGCACCCAGCAAGAGCACAACTGGGTGTACTATTTAGCTATGATATCATTGGTATTTAAAAGGCCCCTGAGTCACTAAAAAGCCAGACCTCCCCATAAAAAAACTATACACAAATATTCATAGCAGCATTATTCATGAAAGCTAAAAAGCAGAAACAAGCCAAATATCTATCAACTGATGAATGGATAAACAAAATGTGGTCTATACATAAAATGAAACATTATTTGGCAGAAAAGGAAGTATTGACACATGCTGCAACATGGATGAACCTTGAAAACATTATGCTAAGTTTAAGAAGCCAATCACAAAAGGCCACATATTATATGATTCTATTTGTATGAAATGGCCAGAATGGGCAAATCTATGGAGATAGAAAGTAGGTTAGTGGTTGCCTGGGCTGGGACTGGAGGAGGAGTGGGGGGAATGAGTGGCTGTTAATAGGCTTTTTTGTCTTTTTGGAGGTGATGAAAATGGTCTAAAACTGATCATGGTGATGAATGCACAACTGTGAATATATTAAAAACCATTCAATTGTACACATTAAGTTGGTGAATTATATGATAAGTAGATTATACCTCAAAAAAAGCTATTAATTTTTTAAAAGCCAGTCCTAATAAACTCTGTGCCTAGAAATAAAATGGATAAGATAGGAAAAGAATCACATACAGATGAAGCCTCTGTTGACTTTTCCTGAAAATATACAAAGAAATACATATCTAATAAAATGCATCAGAACAATCAGAAACTTGCCAGCTTAAAAAAATACATTACTCAGACTGGATGACAGAGTGAGACCTTGTTTCTAAAAACCAAAACAAAACAAAAAAATTACTCAAAAGAGTACCATATTATTTATGAGCAGGCTCATGAAAAAACTCCACTGGGTACTATCAGTGATAATGCCAAGGTTATTAATTAAAAAATATTGACATCATTTCACATGTTTCCACCTAAAGAATTAAATATTTGACTTTCTCATTTAATCTATGCCCTCTACAAAAACATCTAAAACTCAACTGATATTAGCCTCAGGAACAACAGCATTCAGCGTATTGATATAGTTCTACAGCCAACCACTGCAAATCAATGAAATTAAAGTCAACCAGAATTGAAGTCTAGGAATAGCTGAGTGAAAGTACAAATCTTACTTCAATAGTGGACTATTGATGTTTTTTTCAAAAATCACTCTTCACCAACAATGTACAACATAAGCATCATTATCTGTTCCAAGGTCTATGAGGTAAACCTGGGACAGGAAATCATCAGGAGATCCAGAATAAGCCTCAACCTCTTCCTGGTATCCCCACCAACCATGAGTCCACTGAGATAAACTTCTGATGACACAGAAGTGACTGCTTACACATAGCACTAAATGTGGTTTGGATTATGAAATATCACTGTCCTGTTAACTGAAAGTCATCTCTTTTATTCTTTAGTTTGGGCTTAACTGTTGGAGTGAATAGTTTATGCCCACCCATAGCTAGACTGTCTGTCCCCTTCATTCAGTGACAGAGAAGCAGTCTGAGTGTTTCAGGGGATCCTCACATTCAAAACTGTGCATACACAAGCCATGTAAAATTAGGGTGTTACTTCACTTGGCAAAAGGAATATTTACTTTATGACTTACTTCTCTAAGTCTATAAAAAATAATGCATTATGTTGGAAGATGTGGGTAGTTCCATTTTGACATGATTCATAAAAACTGAAATGACCACAGACTAGCACATACTCTGCTACCCCTGGTCTGCTGTCCTCTCTAATGAGGATGACCCAGTGGTGTCCTTGAGTTACTCCCCTACTTGGAGATGGATTGTGCTGTACCATCTGCACTCTCACTCGCTGATTCTTGTGAACCAACCAAACAGGCCCATAGGCTTAGAGCTCCAGGGTCTGCCTTAGTATTAGGTATGTAAATAGGGGCGGGGGGTGGGGGGGAACGTGGGCTCGAGGGAGGCGGACAAAAAGCTGCCTTGTGTGATGCCATTTTGCAAGCTAAATGCAGGTAAATGCAAACCACAGGGGGAAGGTTGGGGAGATTTGTCCAGGCTAAGCCTATGGTTTTAGATGTGATCATTTTAACCATATGCTGCTTTTAAATCTTTTAAAAATATTTAGTTATATCTATACACACACCTAACGTTGTAGAAATGTACAACCATAATCATTCACATATCCCTTTTTCAGTTGTCTTTTTTTTTTTTTTTTTTTGAGACAGAGTCTCACTTTGTTGCCTGGGCTAGAGTGCCGTGGCGTCAGCTTAGTTCACAGCAACCTCAAACTCCTGGGCTCAAGCGATTCTTCTGCCTCAGCCTCCCAAGTAGCTGGGACTACAGACATGCGCCACATGCCTGGCTAATTTTTCCAATATATATTAGTTGGCCAATTAATTTCTTTCTATTTATAGTAGAGACAGGGTCTTGCCTCTTGCTCAGGCTGGTTTTGAACTCCTGACCTTGAGCGATCCTCCCACCTCAGCCTCCCAGAGTGCTAGGAATACAGGTGTGAGCCACCGCACCCCACCTTTTCTCAATTGTCTTTTTTCCTTCTCTCTTCTGCTTGGCTCCCTCCTCTCACATGAGCAATCCCATAAACACAGTCCATGTAACAACCTTGTATATATTGTTCCATGTTTTTTCTCTGTGCTACTAAAATCAGATTTTATATATGTATATATATGCTTATGTGTAAATTCCTGTTCATGTACAGGTTTTTTTTTTGGGGGGAGGGGTCATTGTTTTTATTAATGGGATTGGAAGATCATATGATATACACTGCTGCACCTTGCATCTCATTCAACAGAACCTTATGAGATCATGCTAAGTCATCTGGTATAACTCAAACTCATGAGTATTAGAGGCTGCATAATATTCCGTGGAGGGTGCATATAACGATACACCCAGTCATTTATCCTCTCGATGGGTATTAATTTGTTATCTACGTTTTTGTTTTTATTTGCCACTACAAAAATACTGCAATAAGTATCTTTATAACATATGTTCTTGTCAACAGTGCTTTTATTTCTATGGAAAAGAATCCCAAAAATTAAATTGCTAGGCTGACAGGTTATATGCATTTGCACTTTTAATTTTAATAAGTATTCCCCATCTCTGCCAGCAAGTTATCAATGTTTTCAATTTTTTTGTCAGTCTAATGAGTGCAAAGTGATATCTCATCACTAGTTATACTTATAAATGTTTTATTTCCCTCACAGTGAATTGAAGCATCTAGTCATTCTTTTTTGGGGTGGGGCACTGGATTTGTTCTATGAGCTAATTTTTAGTTTCTTTTTTACCAGGTACTATTTCACCATTTCTGCCTATACAGAAAGAGAACTTTCCATATACCATGTTTAAGAGCACAGGATCTGGAATCAGACTGCCCATGTTCAAAGCTTTACCACAATCCAGCTGTGTGACCTTGAGCAAATAACTTCAGCATCTCTACCTGTAAAATGGGATTATGAAAGTGCCTACACCCCATAGGGTTATTTGTAAAGATTAAATGAATTAATTCATATCAAGTTTTGGACTGTGTCTGGCATACGTAAGTACTCAATAACTGCTATGTTTAATAGTATTGACTTATTTGAATAGCTTTCATTCACATTATTTCTGTTTCATATAATGATAATAATTTCAGGATATCAGATGAAAATACATAGCTAGTAGAAGAATCTGCAAGTGAGCTTGATAGAACCATCATTTTTGTTAGGAAAAAAGTCTGGGGTGCCCTCTTTTATCTTTACTATAAATATTGCTAATGGAGAGATTTTATCCCATTGATATTTTTGAAACAAACCCCCTTGGCAACTCTGCACCCTTTCTGCACCCCTCAGGTCTTGCCTTTCCCCTTCAAGTTTAGCTCTGAATTTTGTTCATTCATATAAATCTTTTCTTTCTGTTTTACTTTACTAAGCTCTCTGTGCACTGTCTGAAAAAATAATGACTAAATTAATATCGGTGGTAAATTCTATAATGATGTCCACTCTCCCACTCAATAGCTATTTCCTGAGGTGACCAGATGTGGGGTCATGAAGGATAGGGCCATCCATACTTTGCAGTAGGTAACACAAGACAGTCTTAGTGGAGATAGCAGGAACCTGAATTGATACTAAGCACCTGTGCTGCAGGCAAACCTGACAGTGATATCATTCAACTCTACAAGGAAGGCCCAAGGCAGACGAGCCTAATACAAATTGTGCTTCATCAAGAGCAAGGGGCCAACAGCTTGGCAGATTGTCTTTTACCTCTAGCCATTTGTTTGCCCCTCCTTCCTTCTCTACCTCTTCTCAGTTGCTAATCTAGGGAAAGCGACCTTGTTGGCTCTTGTTGATGAGAAAAAAGGGCAGGCCCCTAAGGTCTAGAAAGGATTGGGCCCAGGGCTTGACCCCTATGCTCTGGTAACAAACATCACTGAAATCTCAGTGGCTTATTACAACAAACATTTATTTCTCATCCATGCCTCATGTCCATCCCAGGTCAACTGTG